AAAGAACTAGGATAGACAAAGCAATTTTGCAAAAAAGAACAAAGTAGATCATGCATACTACTTGATTTCAGGACTTTTTTTTTTTTTCAGATTGTTAGCTAATTTTTAAAAAAGATTTTTATTTATTTATTTGAGATAGAATGAGAGAAAGAGCACAAGCATGGGGAGCAGCAGCCAGAGGGAGAAGCAGGCTCCCTGCCAAGCAGGGAGCAGGATGTGGGGCTCGATCCCAGGACTCCGGGATCATGACCCGAGCCAAGGCAGATGCTCAACTGACTGAGCCACTCAGGCGCCCCTGATTTCAGGACTTTCTACAGAGTTTACATAATCAATACACTGTGGTCTAAGGAAAACAACCAGATCAATAGGACTGATCAGAGAGTCCAAAAATAGACCCTTGCACATACAGGCAACTGATTTTCAACAAAGTTGTCAAAAGTAATTCAACAAAAACAGGACAGTCTTTTCTTTTTTTTTTTTTTTTTAAGATTTTATTTATTTATTTGACAGACAAAGATCACAAGTAGGCAGAGAGGCAGACAGAGAGAGAGGTGGAAGCAGGCTCCCTGCAGAGCACAGAGCCCGATGTGGGGCTCGATCCCAGGACACTGGGACCATGACCTGAGCCGAAGGCAGAGGCTTTAACCCACTGAGCCACCCAGGTGCCCCCAGGACAGTCTTTTCAACAAATGGTGCTGGAACTGGATATCGATGGGAAGCAAAATGAGCCTGATCCTTACTTCATATCATCTGCAAAAATTAAACTGATATGAGCCAAAAACCTAACAGAACTTTAAAACTTTCAGGAGGAGAAAATATTCACACCCTTGGGGTAGATTCCTCAGGATACAAAGAGCACCACCTGAAAAAAATTGATAACTGGACTTCATCAAGATTTTGCCTTTCTGGAACGCCTGGGTGGCTCAGTGTTAAAGCCTCTGCCTTCGGCTCAGGTCATGATTCCAGGGTCCTGGGATCAAGGCCCTCATCGGGCTCTCGGCTCAGCGGGAGCCTGTTTCCCCCTCTCTCTCTGCCTGCCTCTCTGCCTACTTGTGATCTTTGTCTGTCAAATAAATAAATAAAATCTTAAAAAAAAAAGATTTTGCCTTTCTGCTCTTCAAAAGACACTTAAGAAAATAAAAAGGCAAACCACAAACTGGGAGAAAATATTCACAATATATCTGACAAAAGACAAAGGTGTGTGTGCAGACTATGTTAAGAACTCTTATAATTCAGTAACAGAGGAAGCAATTCAAATTTAAAATGGGCAGGAGGCTTGAACAGACACCTCACAAGAGAAGATATGTGAAGAGCCAATAAGCACGTGAAAAGATGCACATCATCAGATTATCAGGAAAACACAAGTGAAGGGGCAACCAAATGTCACCTCCCATTTACTAAGATGGCTAAAACCAAGCCGACCGACAAAAGCAAGTGCTGGCGAGGACGCGGAGACCCTGGAACGCGCATACACTGCTGGTAGGGACGTGAAGCGTCCAAACTACCTTGAAAACCAATGTGGCAGTTCATTAAAAAGTTAAACATATGACTGTCCTATAACTAGTGATTCTACTTCTAGGTATTTGCCTCAGAGCAATAAAAACATATGTACGTTAAAAAGGACTCATACAGGGCACCAGGGTGGCTCAGTCAGTGAAGCGTCTGCCTTCGGCTCAGGTCATGATCCCAGGGTCCTGGGATCGATCCCCCTGTCAGGCTCCTTGCTCAGTGGGAATCTGCTCCTCCCTCTCCCTCTGCCCCTCCCTCCCCCCAAGAGCGCGGGTGCTCCCTCTCTCTCAAATAAATAAAATCTTAAAAAAAAAAAAAAAAAGACTTATATAAAACATTCATAGCAACTTTATTTGTAATAGTCCCAAACTGGAAACCCAAATGTCCCATCAACAGGTGAAGAGACAAACCGTGGTCTAGTCATACAACAGAACACTAATCAGCAATAAAAAGGAGTGAAGCACCAACACTTAAGACAAGGATACACTCAATTCTACTGAAAGAAGCTAGACAAAGAGCACATATTGTATGAGTGCATTTATATTACGTTCTAGAATAGGCAAAACTATTCTCTCATGATAAAAATCAGATTGTTTGTTTCCTGGGGTAGGTATAAGGAAGGGCTTCATTCCAAAAATCATGGAGGAACTTTCCTGGGGTGACAGAAATGTTCTATATCTTGACTGGGATATTGGTTATGTGAGCATGTATACATTTGCCTAAACTCACTGAACTAGTGATCTGTACTAGTTTTTTCTTTCTTTCCTTCCTTTTTTCTTTCTTTCTCTCTCTCCAAGAGGGAAAGAGAGAACTCAAGCTGGGAGGAGGGACTCCCCACTGAGCAGGGAGCCAGATGCGGGGCTCAATCCCAGGACCCTGAGATCATGACCTGAACTGAAGGCAGACGCTTAACTGAGCCACCCAGGCACCCCACGGACTAGTTTCCTTTAAAGAATGAGCATATACACATTAAAGTCTACAAACAGTTGATTTTAAAAGAAGCATTCCAGGGGCGCCTGGGTGGCTCAGTGGGTTAAAGCCTCTGCCTTCGGCTCAGGTCATGATCCCAGGGTCCTGGGATCAAGCTCCACATCGGGCTCTCTGCTCAGCAGGGAGCCTGCTTCCCCCCGCCCCTCTGCCTGCCTCTCTGCCTACGAATGATCTCTGTCAAATAAATGAATGAATGAATGAATGAATGAATGAATGAATAAAGCATTCCAGGTTCTTACAGACCTTTTTTTACTGTAGTTTTTTAGTCAGGGATACAAAAAAGTTCAATTTGATGGCTTTCAAGTTATCTTTATGCACACAGCACACCCAACTAATGTACCTGGTCTCTTAAATTTAAAGCATCAATTCCAAGCTCTTTCTTTACAGTTTAGGAAAACGGAGCCCAGGTATCCTGATTTCAAGTTCAACGTTATTTTCCTATTTACGTTAAGGCTATAAAATCCACAAAGCAACTTATACCCCTGCTATTGAAATGTTACTGTGCTTAGAAAAACCAATCAAAATTAACATGTAAAACACTCCCTGAAGGACTGACAGATTTAGAATGACTATTTTGCAATTCCTAGTGAAATAATAGATCTAGAGATACCTGGGTGGCTCAGTTGGTTAAGAATCTGCCTTCAGGGACGCCTGGGTGGCTCAGTTGGTTAAGCAGCTGCCTTCGGCTCAGGTCATGATCCCAGCGTCCTGGGATCGAGTCCCACATCGGGCTCCTTGCTCAGCAGGGAGCCTGCTTCTCCCTCTGCCTCTGCCTGCCATTCTGTCTGCCTGTGCTTGCTCTCTCTCCCTCTCTCTCTCTCTGACAAATAAATAAATAAAATCTTAAAAAAAAAAAAAAAAAAAAGAATCTGCCTTCAGCTTAGGTGATGATCTCAGGCTCCTGGAACCAAGCCCTGTATCTGGCTCCCTGCTCAACGGGGAGCCTGCTTCTCCCTCTCCCCCTGCCCCTCCTCCCTGCTCTTGCTCTATCTCAAATAAATAAAAATCTTTTAAAAATTAAAAAAATAAATAAATAAAAGAAATAATATATCTAAGTAATAATAATATAAGAATACTAAAATCATTATGTGAACTCTATGATAATTTTAGTTCAGGCTGACAAATTTTTGATCAAGCTTTACATCCACAAGTCGCACAACCAGGTATTAGGCGCCTCCTGACACGAAGGAACCGGCAGCAGGCGGCACCACCAGTGAAAGAGCGACGCCGAAGAAGAGAAAAACCCCAACCTGATCCCAAGTCTAATCAAGTCACTAGATCTAAATACCAGCTCCTAGGAGTCATGCAGGATAGAGGAATGTGATAAATAACAGTGAGGACAGTCAGCAAGACCCAGAATGTGGGAAATTCTACAGGACAAATGACCCAGTGTTTCTTCCATAAATAAATGGCATTAAAAATGAAGAAGGAGGGGCGCCTGGGTGGCTCAGTGGGTTAAGCGTCTGCCTTCAGCTCAGGTCATGATCCCACCGTCCTGGGATCGAGCCCCGCATCAGGCTCCCTGCTCAGCGATGAGCCTGCTTCTCCCTCTCCCTCTACCTGCTGCTCTAATTGTGCTATCTCTCTGTCAAATAAATAAATAAAATCTTAAAAAAAATTAAAATTAAAAAATTAAAAATAAAATAAAAAATGAAGAAGGAGAAGAAGAAAGAGGAAGAAGTAAGAAGAAAGATGGGGAAGGACCTGTCAGTGATTAAAAGAGACTTTATTATTTTTTTCGAGTTTATTTATTTTTTTTTTTACTAATCTCTACACCCAATGTGGGGCTCAAACTCATAACCCTGAGATAAAGAGTTATATGCTCTCTGATTGAGCCAGCCAGGTGCTCCTTAAGAGATACTTTATTGGGTACCTGGGTGGCTCAGTGGGTTAAAGCCTCTGCCTTTGGCTCAGGTCATGATCTCAGGGTCCTGGGATTGAGCCCCGAATCAGGCTCTCTGCTCAGTGGGGAGCCTGCTTCCCCTCTCTCTCTGCCTGCCTCTCTGCCTCCTTTTGATCTCTGTCTGTCAAATAATTAAATAAAATCTTTAAAAAAAAAAAAGAGAGATTTTTTTTAAAAAATATTTTATTTATTTATTTGAGAGAGACACTGAGAGAGCAAAGGCAGGGGCGGGGGTAGGGCAGAGGAGAGGGAGAAGCAGGCTCCCCAACAGATGCTCAACCAACTGAGCCACTAGGTGCCCCGTAATATTCTACTTCCGTATTTGACATTTTCTATAGTAAAATGTGTACTTTTTATAGCCCCAAGAATTCATATTCATGTGCCCAGGCAATCAGAAAGAGGAAGTCTGAGTGCAGTGACATTTGAGTGTGATTCTGCACTCATCTTTGAAACCAGCGTGTTACCTCTCTGCGTCAGAGACACAAAGGAACTTTTCCTTTATGGGAAGGATGGGATCCTGACCCGTGAGGTACACCGATGAGTACTCAGTGGAATATTGAGATACATAAATGGGGTCAAAAGAAAAATAAGCACATACATTTCTGGCACTGCTGCTGAGATTCTCGGAGCTGATGGGGAGCAGAGTACTCAGCTCCAGGTCCGTAACCATCTGGCGAGACTCTGCCAGCAAACGCTGAAGCTTGCTTGTGGGTGAAAAGTCATCCTGGGTATACAACACAACGTAAGCATTCAAGGAATCAGGAAGCATTTTTAAACGTTTATGGTTATAAGCACAATGTTATAAACACAAATGTTAACTCCCCATAAATACTTCTCTGATTTTAGGCATTACATGTCAAAGCAGGACATTAAGTACTAGAACAGCCAAATTCCATTTATTTCTTAGAACCTACTTAGCTAGGGGGGCATGTGGGTGGCTCAGTCAGTTAACCATCTGACTCTTGGTTTTGGCTCAGGTCCTGATCTCAGGGTCATGAGATGGAGCCCCAGGTCTGGCTCTCCACTCAGTGTGGAGTCTGCCTCAGTCTCTCTCTCCCTCTCTTAGTTGAGTGGACTCTCTTTCTAACAAATACATCTTAAAAAAAAAAAAAAAAAAAAGGACCTACTTGGCTAAATAATTTGACTTCAACAGAACTTACAACTAATTAAGTAATATCTATGTGATGAAAAGAATTGCAGGCTAGGGCACCCGGCTGCCTCAGTAGGTAGACCATTTGACTCTTGATCTTGGGGTTGTGAGTTTGAGCTCCACACTGGGTGTAAAGATTAAAGATAAAAATCTTAAAAAAAAAAAAAAAAAAGAATCCTAGGCATTGTTTAGCTCTCTTAAATCAATTTTCTTTTTTTTTTTTTTAAGATTTTGTTTATTTATTTGACAGAGATCTTAAGTAGGCAGAGAGAGAGGAGGAAGCAGGCTCCCTGCTGAGCAGAGAGCCCGATGTGGGGCTCGATCCCAGGACCCAGGACCTGAGCCGAAGGCAGAGGCTTTAACCCACTGAGCCACCCAGGCACCCCCTTACATCAATTTTCTAAAGCCATAATTAGCTTGCTAATTCGTGTTAGCCAAAATACTGGCAAAATGTAGCTTTGACACTAAAAGCTTGTAAGCTTTTTAAAATAAGTGGGTATGTGCCTTAGTTTGTTCTTGTTTAATTTTCAACTTTGGTATATGAAGTTTTAGCATGACAACCACACTCCAAGATACCTAGACTAATTTTTTCACTAAGGAAAGTTGATTCTGGGCGCCTGGGTGGCTCAGTCGGTTAAACATCTGCCTTCAGCTCGTGTCATGATTCTGGAGTCTGGGATCAAGCCCCGTGTCGGGCTCCCTGCTCAGCGGGGAATCTGCTTCCCCCTCACCCTCTGCTCCTTCTCTTTCTCACACTCTCTCTCTCAAATAAATAAATAAAATCTTAAAAAAAAAAACAAAAAAAAAACTTGAACGTTAACTCTAGGGGTTCCTGGGTAGCTCAGTCAGTTAAGCATCTGACCCTTGATCTTGGCTCAGGTTTTGATTTGGGAGTTGTGAGTTTAAGCCCCACATCAGGCTTCACGCTGGGTGTGGAGCCTACTTAAAAAAAAAAAAAAAAAAGTTAATTCTAATTTTCCAGGAACAAAGATGATCACTACTGACCTGGCTCTAGACGATACCTGTGGGCACACACGTGTATACACACACACCTAAACATATATGTATATATGGACAATGTAAGCATGCGATGTCAAATACTGCTTCAGAAAAATAGGTACAAACATTGAAAAAAGGGTCTCATGAGAACTAAAAAAGATAGTAGCAAATATCTGAAACCATACCCACAATGAAAGGGATTCTATTCACCAAAGCCTATGCTCCTTTGGAATTCTGGCCTCTGAGTCCCTCCTCTCATTCCCAGGCAACACTGATCTGTTTTCTGTCACCAGAGACTAGTTTGCATTTTCTGGAATTTTATATAAATGCATTCATCCTTTCGTCTGTCTGGCATCTTTCACTCAGCATAATTATCTTGAGGTTCACCCATGTTATGCACGCATAAGTAGTTTATTCTTTTTTGTTCCTGAGAAGTACTCCATCGCATGGATACACCACAGTTTGTCTCTTTAACTAATGATGTGTATTTGGGTTGTTTCTGTTTTTTTTTGTTTTTTAAGATTTTATTTATTTATTTGACAGAGAAAGATGGAGCACAAGCAGGGAAAGTGGGAGAGGGAGGAGCAGGCTTCCCGCTGAGCAGAGAGCACGATGTGGGGCTCAATCCCAGGACCCTGGGATCATGACCTGAGCTAAGGACAGAAGCTTTAACCCACTGAACCACTCAGGTGCCATTTTATTTTATTTTTAAAGATTTTACTTATTTGACAGAGAGAGCGAGAGTGCATAAGCAGGGGGGAAAGCAGAGGGAGAGGGAGAGGCAGGCTCCTCAGTGAACAGGGAGGCTGACAATTCGGGACTCGATCCCAGGACCCTGAGATCATGATGTGAGCCTGAGGCAGACGCTTAACCAACTGAGCCACCCAGGCGCCCTTATTTTATTTTGAATTTATTTGAGAGAGAGCACACACATGAGTGTTCAAGAGCAGGGGGAGGGGCAGAAGGAAAGAATCTCAAGCAGACTCCCCGCTGAGTGTGGGGCTCAGTCCCAGGACACCAAGATCATGATCTGAGCTGAAATCAAGAGCTGGAGGCTTAATCAAATGAGCCACCCAGGTGCCCCCATCTGTGTACATTTTAAACACAAAACAACATTATGTAGTGCTTAAATATGTTTTGACGTAGTAAAAGTATAAGAACAAGCATAAATGCAACTTTAGGATGATGATTAACTGGTGGGGAAAGGGGGCAGGGGACTCACACTTTATCTACATTTTATTTCTCAAACAAGAAAAATTAAGCAAATATGGCAAAATATAAACATGTTAAATCTGAATGTAGGTGCATATTGCTTGTTATAGCCTTCCTTTTTTGTTATGTTTAAAATATATGTGTGTGGGATGCCTGGGTGGCTCAGTGGGTTAAGCCTCTGCCTTTGGCTCAAGTGATGATCCCAGGGACCTGGAATTGAGCCCCACATTGGGCTCCCTGCTCAGTGGGAGCCTGCTTCCCCCCTGCCTGCCACTCCCCCTGTTTGTTCTCTTTCTCTCTCTGAAACAAATCTTAAAGATTTATCTATAAAATAAAGTACAATAAAATATATGTGTGTGTGTATATATGTATCTACCAATCACCTGGACGGCCTGAGGGACATTTTAACTAGACTTGTAATCTATAGGATAATATTTTAAGGGAACTCTGACTTTGGTTAAATGATATCATTAAAATTCCATAATTAAAAAACAACAACAACAAAACTGAAGAATGACCAAAATTAAGCACACTAAAAAGCAGTACCACAGAAGAATTAAAAGTCTGTTGAGGAGGAGTTTTGCTTGAATAAGCCGGGTAATTTTTTTTTTTAAGATTTTATTTATTTGACAGATAGAGACATCAGAAGTAGGCAGAGAGAGAAGGGGAAGCAGGCTCCCCGCCGAGCAGAGAGTCTGATGCAGGGCTTGATCCCAGGACGCTGAGATCATGACCTGAGCCGAAGGCAGAGGCTTAACCCACTGAGCCACCCAGGCGCCCCATAAGCTGGGTATTTCTAAGCAAAATACAAACCTTGTCACTGGACGATGGTGCCTCTTTGTTGTTGAATAACAGAATCTTAGGTGAGTTCTTTGCGTCTGAAGAGCGCTCTGTCTCTATCAATTTCTCATCCTCTCTAGGGGCAGATTTTGAAGAACCCGAACAGTGGGAATGCTGGATGGCAATTAGCTCACTATGAATAATAAAAACAAACAGAAGCAGACATCTTAATATCAGACATATATCACCAATACTCTTATACTTAAAAGTATCAAGAGGACCAAAAAAAAAAAAAAGTTTTTTTTTTTTTAATGAAGAAGCTCAAGTCTGAGTAGAACATTACAGGTTTGAATAGAACACTTAAGTAGAATGGTATACATTAATGCATACGCTGTGCAATAAGAATTAAATCAGAGTTCTTTTTTTAATTTTTAATTTTTTTTATTTTATTTATTTATTTTTAAAGATTTTATTTATTTATTTGACAGAGAGATGACAAGCAGGCAGAGAGAGAGGAGGAAGCAGGCAGAGAGAAAGGAGGAAGCAGGCTCCCCTAGAGAGCAGAGAGCCCGATGCGGGGCTCGATCCCAGGACTCCGAGATCACGACCCGAGCCGAAGGCAGCGGCTTAACCCACTGAGCCACCCAGGCGCCCCATTTAATTTTTAATTTTTTAATAATTTTTTAAAGATTTTTAAAATCTATTTGACATACAGAGAGAGATCACAAGTAGGTAGAGAGGCAGGCAGAGAGAGAGGGGGAAGCAGGCTCCCCATTGAGCAGAGAGCCCAATGCGGGGCTCGATCCCAGGACCCTGAGATCATGACCTGAGCCGAAGGCAGAGGCTTTAACCCACTGAGCCACCCAGGCGCCCCATAAATCAGAATTCTTAGTTGAAAGGTTAACAACAGAACAGAGAATTTCCCTCCCCCTTCCCAAAACAAGAAAACAAAAAAGAAGGTTCAAGGCACAGGAGGCATCTAAAAGGGAGGAAAAAAAATTAACACAGGTTAAACTTGTTTTGTTTTTTTTTTTTTTAAGATTTTATTTAGTTATTTGATGGACAGAGATCTCAAGTAGGGGGAGAGGCAGGCAGAAAGAGAGAGAAGAGGAAGCAGGCTCCCCGCCGAGCAGAAAGCCCCATACGGGGCTCGATCCCAGGACCCTGGGATCATGACCTGAGCCAAAGGCAGAGGCTTTAACCCACTGAGCCACTCAGGTGCCCCAACATAGGTTAAACTTGTAAAAATTGGGGGTTTTTGGTTTGTGAAGTTGATTTTTATTAATGCTTTGAAAAAGTCCTTTTGTCAAAGTAGAACAGCACTGTCAGCTACTAATTCTCCGATGGGTCCTCAGTAGTAGAGAACAGACACACGCAGCCAAGCTTCTAGGTGTGTTCTTCAAAGGTGGGCTCAGAGCGCAGTGACCTGTGAAAGCTGTTCTGGAACAGACCAGGAGCACTGGAGCCGCTTCCTCCCATGTTCCCTGCAACCGAAGGAGAACAGGCTGCCACCGCTTCTCCCTCTACAGCTAAACCCCTATCTGTCCAACAGAATGGTGGTCTGATAATAGAGCAGGTACACAGTAAGTTCTTATAATCTAAGGAAAACTAGGAAAACACAATTATCTTTTCTATTTAATCACGTATTTGTCATGTGAGGTCCTGGCATGTGCCTTTGCCGGTGGCACAGGTGGCTTGGACTATTTCAAGCCAGGGAGGTCCACAGGGTCTTGAAACAAAACTCCAAATTTAAATTTGAATTTGTTTCACATGTTAAATTTAATATATGTCCACTAGTCTTTTAAATCTACCATAAACTGTTCCCTTACTATATGTGTGCTCAGTAGTGAACAATGTGCAGGTGTGCCCTATTCCTATTCCAATTGTTTAAAGAAAATCTTTAAAAAACAAATATGAACAGATAACATTTAGTGGGACAGGGGCGCCTGGGTGGCTCAGTGGGTTAAAGCCTCTGCCCTTGGCTCAGGTCATGGTCCCAGGGTCCTAAGATCGAGCCCCGCATCAGGCTCTCTGCTCAGCAGGGAGCCTGCTTCCTCCTCTCTCTCTGCCTGCCTCTCTGCCTACTTGTGATCTCTGTCTGTCAAATAAAAACAAAAAAACAAAAAAACATTTAGTGGGACAACTTTTTTTTTTAACTTCACAACTGACAGAATAACTATCTGTATGATTTTTTAATGACTCAGGCTTCTCAAAGGGCCAAAGAAAAATCCAAACGATGAAAATATCAGGAAGAAATTTTCACCATCAAGTCCTAGGACAGTCGGTGTGAGGATTAAAATAGGTTCTCGATATAGCAACTTTGTCCTTTCTGTAATTGAAGATCGAAGAGCTAGGTTTTATTTAAAAATAGCAGACATTATTACGGCGCCCTCCACCACAAGATTCAGCAATTCTAACAGTAAGATGAGTTCGAATAACACAGCCTACGCTAATAGCTAATCCATTTTCTTCTCTTAAAAAAACTACTAACTTTTACCAACTTGTTACATACAAATATTCTTTTTCTTGCATGATTTTAAAAAATAATAAAATTTGGGAAACTTAAAGGGAACAGGAAGGCAAAAGCAGTCGGACATTTAAATGTGCAGTTGGGGGGGTGCTGGGGAGGCTGTGGGCAAAGTTCTTATCTGGGGTCTAGGGACTGTGATCTCTGCACAGAAAGCTTATCAATTCACACTGGATCCAGGGCTGAGGAATGCCCCAGAGCAGCATTCTACTCTGTAAAGTAACCCTGCTGTTAGTTTTTTTTTTTTTTTTTAAAACAACATATTTACCCAACTCATAACAACCGGCTTTGTTTTCAAACAAAACCTTTGCCTCAGAAGCTGTTCTAGGTACAAACTCTTCACAGTGGAAAACTCAACAGCCTGGGTGCTGATGAAGACAGTAACGGGTCCCTCCTACACGACTTGTGTCTGCAAACGCTGCTCTCCGTTGAGCAGTGAGCAGGCAGCACGACTGGAGCCCCTTCTACGGCCCAGCAGTGGCGGTGCCCAGTACAAAACGTCACTAACCTCGTGGCGGAGTTGTACTTGCTCCCACCGGCACTTTCCGAACAAGTACACACAGATTTGTGGCGAACGATCCTTTGCACTTTAGAAGGCTTGAAAATGCTCATCCACTCCATGTCAGACATGGGGCCTGGGGCTTCAACGATGAAGTTACTCGGGTGGCAGCACCTGGATTCATACATGTCACTCTCCCCCAGACAAGTCTCATTTTTATGGCAACAGGAGACTCCAGACCTTTCTATGTCATCTTGACTTTCAACATCCGGCTTTTCTGGTTGTCTGGAACCGGAGCAGCTGGCCAGGCCCAGGTACACGTTGACATCATGCCACTGTCTCTCATCAGATGACGTGGATGTGTCGGAGAGTTGTTTCTCTTCATTCTGAATCCCGATCCCATTACCTTTTGGTGACTTGGCGTGGATCTTGCACAATCTACTTTGGTTTTCCGGTTCGATCTGCATTTTTCCTCCCAGAGACCAAGACTTTTGCTTCTCCAGTAAGTCTTTTGTAAACAGAGATGAGATAGCAAATACACTTTTTTCCCCAAACGAAGGATTACCCTGTCGCTTCTTCTCTTTGCACACATCACAGGGGCTCCTGTCTGACCGATTTTGCGGGAACGTGGTCTCAAATTTTGCATCTTTAACCAATGACCTCTGATTTTTCTCCCTCTTGATGTCGACTTTCGGGCGGTGATTCTCAAGGTCTGACAAACACATGTCTCTGCTATGGTGGCGTTAACAAAAAACGGAAGTTGTAAGACACACTTGATACTGTCACTCCAGATACTTCACCCAAACCTCATTCACTGAGCTAAATCCTATTAAGACCCATTTGTCTGAAATGAAAACAGAAGGGAGAACGTGGATTCTTTCTGCAGAGCCTGATTTCAGCCCAGCTTCCAGAAGTCTCTCCGACCACAAGCCCACACGCTCACTTTGCCCTCCCTGTCCTCAACTCCCACCACGCTTACTGTCCACACCATGGTCCTTGTATTACTGTGTATATCATCTACTTAATCACACAGTGAACTTCCTATCATAACTACATCGTTCACTAACTTTCATGCATATGTCCTGCCTTTTGAACAGACTACTAGGTTTCTTAATATGTAGAGCCATTTTAATCCTCCTGGCACTTTAGGATAGCCTTTCACAAACATTAAGTGTTCTGTAAATACTTGTCGATTGATCTGTTCCCTTCATAATTCTATTAGTTTCACAGAAAAAGAGGTAAAGCCAGGACTGAAAGGGGACAGAGATTCAAGGGACAGAGACACAGTGGAAAGTGCCAATTATGTCTACCATACAGCACTCACGACCATCCCAGTTACCTGCTAGATATTTACATGGCGACATACTGAAAACTGGTTTAAAGTAAGAATGACAGGTGTGCATAAAACAAAAATTAAGAAAAAAAAATTAAGAATATATACAAACGTGATAAACCTTTTCATAAACTGTCTTCATGTCCCATGTCTTCTGTATTCAGGCATTCAAATCTGGAGAGTTCTGAGCCCTCGAAAACTCAACCCCCACCTCCTGAAAGGGCATAGGTCATTTTACACTCTTAAAGAACAACCTCGATTGCCTAGCCCAAGGGCCTCTCAGGGGCAACAAAGTATACAGTACGGTAGGGGCTTGTGCCTGTGAGGGCGCTCTGGGTCTGTGTGGTATGTTCCCGCAGCAGCAGCAGCCAAGACACAAAGCTAGAGTGTCAACACCCCCCACAGCCAAAGGCCTGGAAAGAAAAGGAAGCCTGGCACAGCGGTCACATTGCCTGCCTTCCAACAGCTCTTACAACTACCACGCTGCGGGCAGCCAGCCTTCGTGGTTACATGGTCACACCTAGTGGCCGGGAGCTTCCCTAATTCCTGCTCCCATTCAGGACTTCTTGTCATACTTCTGCTTGGAAAAGTAGACTAAATTTAACTGTGGAACAGTTAAACGCCTATTAAATTAAACCACACCTCATATATTTATATTTTAACTTTACAGAAACCAATTGAGTTCACACACCGCTTATTATAAGCAAGAAAAGGTGTCTCCTATTAATAAGGAAAACAGGAAAATCCAGCTAAAAGCAGAGATCGCCCTCGGCTAGCTGAACTCCTACAGTTATTTATACCATTTGTCGGTGCTCTCTCTTTTAGGCAAGGACCATGGCCTCTGTATCTTTATTTTCCCCACTCCCAGCTCAGTGAGTGCTCAACACTAAACTCGGAGTCCTCACGAAGGAGTAAGTGAGTCACCTCTGGTTTCTGCTTGAGCTTAAGCCTGTATACAACAGACATACAAATAAGGCTAATGCATTTCCTTTATCAAGAGGCTAAAATCAGGATCAGGCCTAAAATTCTAAGATCAGGTCTCATTACAACCCGGAATCATAATGACAATTACTAGCTCATATGTGTGGATTTCCTACCATATAAGGAATGATAGTAGATACCTGCCCATAGTAAGTACTTAATAGATTGAATGATAAAATAAAATACAAGATCATACTAACAGCATCTCGCTAAGATTACCTGGACTCCAGAACCTTTGATTCCTCCATCTTTGAGTCATATATCTGTATTAATTCCTGAGAATTTTCCACATTAAAATTAAGAAACTGCAGATCACTCTGTTGTTTTACATAAATCTGCCGTAGATATTGATAAATCAGTAAGATGTGACAACAAAACTATATTGAGCCAACATTCAAATGCTAAAACAGATCAGTGATAGAGAAATATGCTAAATATGTTTGCTTTTATTTTTCCTATGTTAGCATTCAGATTTGTTAGTGTCACTAGTTTCCAAACCTTTCATTTCCGAAAGCAAGACGCTATTAGCTATGCTAAATATGACACACCTTTAATGTAGTTAGGGTCCCAAAAGCACGACAAACAAAAACTGACACGTACTTTTCCTTATTTGTTTGTTTATAAAAGCTTCCCAAATAGTAAGAACAGTGTAATTGGGGACGTACCTGTCTCAGATTATGGAGTTCTGCGTTTGTGCGCTCTTGCTTTGACTTTGCAATATCAAGTAACTCATCTTTCCTTTTTTCTCTCTCTGCTATTTAAGAACAAATATTATTAAAATATTTTTCATCAGCCATATCAACACAAACCTCTTCATTTCCAAAAATTTAATGTTCCAGTAACTTGTTTTCCCCTTGTTCCTCAAGTTAAAATTTGCAAAATGCGTGGCTGGGAAGAGCTTTAATCTGTGATTCTGGCTAGATATTTCACCAAATTTGAAAATTTTCACAATATAATTAATGCTGAGTCACAAAAGGATTCAGAATTGTATCAAATGTATGTTTTGTATACATAAACACAAGAAAAGTCTGAGAGCAAATACACCTAAGTATTTAAAGAAGCTTTTTTTTGGATGGGAGGATTAATGACAATTATTTTCCTCTCTTTTTTTAAGGGGGGCATGATAAAATACATATTATTTTGGGGCGCCTGGGTGGCTCAGTGGGTTAAAGCCTCTGCCTTCGGCTCAGGTCATGGTCCCAGGGTCCTGGGATCGAGCCCCGCATCGGGCTCTCTGCTCAGCAGGGAGTCTGCTTCCACCTCTCTCTCTCTCTCTCTCTGCCTGCCTCTCTGCCTACTTGTGATCTCTGCCTGTCAAATAAATAAATAAAATCTTTAAAAGAAATAATAAAATAAAATACATATTATTTTAATTTTTTTCACATTACATGAGTAACTTATGAATGCATTTTGATTGTAAAACCCAAACAACATACTACCTCTAACAACAGAAAAAAATGAACATTACAAGGGACAAAAAACCAAAATCATGATTTCTACCAGTATGCAAGCCAGTTGATATAATCTCATAATCAGGCCCTTCCTATATATGTCACTGACCAAAGACCAAAGACAATTGTATCTATAAAGTGCCCGCACAGCAGATAAATTTGCCCAGCACTCCTTTAAAGACTTCCTATTTCTTGAAAACGCTTCACCGGATAGGTAAGATTCTGAGTTCTCTTGAATACACAGTTATACACTCAATTTTTCTCAGTGCAAAGAGAATTTAAAAAAAAAAATCCTCATTATTGGGGCGCTTGAGTGGCTCAGTTGTTAAGCAGAGGCTCAGGTCATGATCCCAGGGATCCAGCCACGCATCGGGCTCCCTGCTTGGTGGGAAGCTTGCTTTTCCCTCTCCCTCTGCCCCTGCTTGTGTTCCCTCTCTTGCTGTGTCTCTCTCGGTCATTTTTTTTTTTTTTTTTTTTTTTTTTAATCTTCATTCTTTTACCAAGACCATCAACACTTTGCTGAAACACGGACACTCCACTAACTACAGCTAGGGCACGAGAAAGCTATATTCTAAAAACGATTTCAGAACTTGGTAAATGAGGGATGCCTGGGTGCCTCAGTCAGTTAAGCGTCTGCCTTTGGCTTAGGTCCTGATCCTGGGGTCCTGGGATCAAGCTTTTTCTCCCTCTCCCTCTGCTGTCCCCCTGCCTGTGCTCTCTTGCTATCTCTTTATCAAATATTTTAAATAAATAAAATCTTAAAAAATAACCCTCTACATGAATAAATTTTAAGTAAATCTGATTCAATTATAAATAAAAATTTAGGGGCGCCTGGGTGGCTCATTGGTTAAGCCGCTGCCTTCAGCTCAGGTCATGATCTCAGGGTCCTGGGATCGAGCCCCGCCTTGGGCTCTCTGCTCGGCAAGGAGCCTGCTTCCTCCTCTCTCTCTGCCTGCCTCTCTGCCTGCTTGTGATCTCTGTCTGTCAAATAAATAAATTAAAAAAAAAATTATTAAAAAAATAAATAAATAAAAATTTATAACTTATATCTATGGTTCTTTCATAAAACTCTTTACATGTCCTTTTTCTCATGGATGAAAAAGCATAAACATTTTTATTATCACTTCACATCTGGACATCGCATAAAACCTTTAAGGACAAAGGCAAGCACTTTGCAACTCCACTAGACTGCTATTCTGTTGGCCTGGTCAGGGGACCAGGCAGAGGAAACTGATGGGGTCTGTGCACAGCACCTCCTCTCCCCAGCATGGTTCATGCTCAGCCCTTCCGATGGGGGTCTGTAGTATCACCCCACTTTCAAAGGTAATCCTCGTGCACAAAATCGAAAATGTGAAGAGAAGCCCGGTGAAAGCCCTGTGGCCAGGTTTAAACTACTCCATCTTTTCTATTCAATTCTGAAATTATTTCTTGGCATTACGTGAGTCAATGCCATAATGAAAGCACATAAATGTAACGGATTTGCATTAGTTATGCAGAGCTGCATTTAGTTTACGAATTCAATCATAAGCACAAAGAAAAAAATTTAAAAAAGGAATCACAGCTACTTTAATAGTAGAAGCAATGCCCACAAGGCATCTGTGACTCTCTCCTGGTCTCGGTTCTACCTCCCTCTCGTACTAACAGCACTGTGACACGCTGGGTGTAATTCCTACTGTTTAGAGATACTTGTTTTGAATATAGTATGGCCCCTAAACAAAAGCCAACTACTTTATTTGGAGCTCAAGAATAATTTTATTTATTTATTAAAGATTTTATTTTTAAGTAATCTCTACACCCAATGTGGGGTTCATGACTCTGAGATCAAGGGTTGTATGCTCCAACCACCAAGCCAGTCAGGCACCCCTCAAGGGTAATTTTATTTATTTATTTAAAGATTTCATTTATCCATTTATCAGAGAGAGAGAGAAAGCACAAGCAGGGGTAGTAGCAGGCAAAGGGAGAAGCAGGCTCCCCGCTGAACAGGAAGCCCGACGTGGGACTCGATCCATGGACCCTGGGACCATGATCTGAGCCAAAGGCAGACGCTTAACCATCTGAGCCACCCAGGCGCAGCTCAATTTTAAACATATCTGAGTTTTGCCTTAATCTGACTTTAGAATAATCTATCACTGCATAAGAGGCAACTCCACTATAAATATAAATGTTTTCCTAGATGAGATACTTTTCTGCATGTCTGGGTTTAGCTGAGAGATCCAAGTGGAGTGGGGCCGCCTATTTTCACAAAGCGGTCACAGAAAACAAAGAGGTATTGTACACCCGGGATGGATGTCTGAGCAAGCAGCCTGAATAAGACAGCGCAGGGGAAAGGGGCCTGTAAGTCTGCAGCTGCCACATTCCGGCCAAGGCTCTACTTTTACTGCCTGGGAGAATGGAGGCAATCACTCGATCCCATGGGGCCTCACTTACAGGACTGTCAGGGCCCCAGAAATGTGAACTGGTTTTCTCGCTTTATTTGCAAACTTCTTATAAGCAGTTATGTACAAACAGATGAAACATGTCTCTAAGCTTATTTACATGAAGAGCTTCATCTTCAATGAGAGGGGGAAAAAGTTTTGAACGTAACAGAAAAGTGTATTTTTAAGACATCTTCCAGCTTCAAATAAAATACGCACTATTTTAGCCGGAGCACCTGACAGCATATTATCATGTTAAGCCTTCTAAAATTATTTTTAGGCTTGGGATGCCTGGGTGGCTCAGTCAGTTAAGCATCTGCTTTGGGTTCAGGCCGATCTGATCCCAGGGTCCCAGGACAGGGTCCCACATCAGGCTCCTTGCTCAGCAGGGAGTCTGCTTCTCCCTCTGCCTGCCGCTGTTCTTGCTTGTGCTCTTTCTCTCTCTCATACACAAATAAATAAGTAAAATCTTAAAAAAAATAAAATTATTTTTAGGTTTAATTCACTTTTATAATTTAAACATACAAAAATTGTTTTGAGACAGTGGCATGAATAGAAAAAGTATTTAAGAAATCAGCTTGGGGGGGCGCCTGGGTGGCTCAGTGGGTTAAGTGTTCAAATATTGGTTTCTTGAAGATTCTCTCCCTCTGCCCCTCCCCTGATTGATGTGCTTGCTTGCTCTAATAAATAATAATAAATCTTTAAACAAAAAAGAAGTCAGGGGCGCCTGGGTGGCTCAGTGGGTTAAAGCCTCTGCTTTCGGCTCGGGTCGTGGTCTCAAGGGTCCTGGGATTGAGCCCCGCATCGGGCTCTCTGCTTGGCGGGGAGCCTGCTTCCCCCTCTCTCTTTGCCTGCCTCTCAGCCTACTTGTGATCTCTCTCTCTGTGTCAAATAAATAAAATCTTAAAAAAAAGGAATCAGCTTAGGAAATGATAAAAATCATTATTTCACAAAATGGATTTTTTTTAAAAGATTTTCTTTGAGGGGTACCTGGGTGACTCAGTTCTTAAGTGTCTGCCTTCAGCTCAGGTCATGATCCCTGGATCCTGGGACAGAGCCCCGCATCGGGCGCCCTGCTCAACGGGAAGCCTGCTTCTCCCTCTCCCACTCCCCCTGCTTGTGTTCCCTCTCTTGCTGTGTGTCTCTCTCTGTCAAATAAATAAATGAAACCTTTTTTTAAAAAAAAAGTTTTGTTTTTTTGACAGGGAGAGGGAGAAGCAGCCTCCCTGCTGAGCAGGGAGCCTGATGAGAAGTTCAATCCCAGAACCCTGGCAGACACTTAACCGACTGAGCCACTCAGGTGCTCCACAAAATGGATTTTCTGTGAGCCTACGAGTTTCTTAGCAACTAACAGAGTCCCTAGCACACAAAAGTTGATCCAAAGATTTTTTGTAAATCAACAAATCAAAATATACATATATATCTTTATATATATTTAAATATGTGTTTTTAGTAATAGAGTAACTTTGAGAGAGCATTCTAGAAATAACAGAAATAGTGACCCCTAATGGTAGAAAACTGCATTTTCCCTCATCCTTATCATATGACATGAAAATTAAGAATTCTATTTTATGTGAAAAAATGTTAATAATGCATTTTGCCCTTTAGCTTATAGAAATGCACTCTCCTCCTAGAAGGAAGGACACTGAGGGTATATATAACTAGACCCCAAAAATATCAATTTAATTAATTCTGTTTGGAACTTCACCTCCAAATCTACGATTTTCCTCATGCTAAATACAAAGCCTAATAAAATTTGGCTAGCGGGGACAGAGATAAGATCTATAAATCAGTGATTCTCAACTGGGAGCAGACAGGGAGAGGTCTGAACTAGCAGAAACTAGTGGGGTGTGTAAGGGACAGTATGGGAAAAATGTGGATGGGGAGAAAGAATGCAATTTTTATGTTTATCTGGAAGGGGCCCAAGGCAAACTATTGATAAATTTGCTATTTTTTTTTTTTAGAGATTTTATTTATTTATTTGACAGAGATCACAAGTAGGCGGAGAGGCAGGCAGAGAGAGAGGAGGAAGCAGGCTCCCCGCTGAGCAGAGAGCCCGATGTGGGGCTCAATCCCAGGACCCTGGGATCATGACCTGAGCCGAAGGCAGAGGCTTTAACCCACTGAGCCACCCAGGCGCCCCAAAATTTGCTATTTTTAATCATGAAAAAATTCATCCTTAACATTACTACTTCAGGTTCATGCTGATATAACAAAACACATCTGCATTTCTCCAACTGTAATCACAGGTGATCTCTTTGCAAAACTGAAAATTATTGAATTCCCAATTTTTACCTAGTATTTGCAAAAGTACAAACATCCTTCCTTCTTCAAATCATAAGATCCTTTCTTAATGGATTTTTAAGCACACATACTGTTTTCAGTGAGAAGTGTAGTCACGCACTCACGCTAGAAGAGAGGGAAGGTAGCTCCTTGTTTTATATAAGAGGATACAGGGTTAACTGGGAGGCATGATAACAACTTTAATATTCCCTGCCTGGTCCCGCCTGGTCCCTCCAAGTATATTTAAAAAGTTACTATTTTGAGAGAAGTGTAATTCCTTTATAGTTGTGCCACAGGACGTTTAGGCTACAATCATAGAACTATTCAGTCACTTAAATAAATGATCTAGTTTTACCAGTAAAAACCAATTCATCATGCAGGCAACTTTTCTCTTGCTTGAGGCGAATGATCTCTTCCCGTTGTTCATTATTTTCTGTTGTCTTTTCATTTAGATCCTCTTCACAAATAGAAGAAAACAAAAGTCCTTTAATAAATACTACTTGCTAGAAGAATATAAACTGTGAGGACCTCTCATGCCCTTGGCACCCCAATGTGAAGTCCCTTTGGAGCTGTAGCCGACATATGTCTCGTATCCAAACCTCGCAGCATCCCTGGCAATGACCTTGTCAGGCTTCCCTATCCCTGACTGGTCTCTCTGCTCAAACCATGCCTCTCCTGTTACCGCCTATTGCCCACAGAGCAATCATGGCTTTTTTTTTTTTTTTTTTTTTTTTTAAGTAAACTCAACCCCCAATGTGGAGCTCAAACTCACAACCCCAAGATCAAGAGTCACGTGTTCTTCCAACTCAGCCAGCCAGGCACCCCAGGGCAATCTTTCAAAAGTAAAAAATCTGTGGGATGTTTGGGAGGCTCAGTCTTAAGTCAAGCAGCTACTTTCAGCTCAGGTCATGATCCCAGGGTACTGGGATCAAACCCTGCATCGGGCTCCTTGCTCAGCAGGGAGCCTGCTTCTCCTGCCTGCTGCTCCCCCTGCTTATCCTGACAAATAAATTAAAAAATCTTAAAAAAAAAAAAATGCAAAAGATCTCCTCATGTCACTTCTCTCCTAAAAGCCCTTCTAACACTCTTAGGATGAAATCCAAATTACCCCTAAGCCCCCAATGGCCTGGTTTGGCCTGTCACTCTCCCCCTTCTTTTGTTTTGTTCCTTGAACATGGCCCAACCTCAAAACCCACCCAGGGCCTTTGCATTTGCTGTTCCTTCTGCCTGGAAGGCTCTGGGCGCAGATATTCACATGGCTAGTTCCTCCCGCCCTCCAAGCTTCTGCTCAAACGTTCTCCTCAAAGTCACCTTCCAGTCCACCCAAACTGAGTTGATTGCCCTCTCTCTAGTTCACTGTCCATTACCTTGTTGTCCTTTAAAGAGATGACAGAGTCTGTCCCTGCTGTCAAGAGATGTATAGTGTGATTATGGTTTTAGATGAAGCTACAAACATAGACAAAACGTATAATTTGCCACAAGTCAGGGCATCATAAGATTTTAGAAGGCTGAGTCTTCTAAATTGACCATAATAAACTTTGGCAATTTCAATAGCAACTTGCTGGCTCAGGGTGTAGGAGTGCTGAAAATCCCAACTGCATCCTGGTCATGTCTGTGCAACGACCTCCCTCATGCCTACGTGGCCTGAACAGAATTGGTGAAGGCTTATTCTGATCTTCCCCGCAGTGCACAGATGGCACCACTTTAGATAACCACCCTCTGACCTCACCACAAAGCCCCCCCCCCGTTCTATAAAAGCTGTGGATTAAGGTCTGGACTTGGCGGAGAGTAGCACCAGGATCATGGTCTGTCCGGTCCCCCCATCAGTAAGTTACCCTGAATAAAACTCCATGTAAACAGCACGGAGTGGCCTCCTTTGCTTTTCAGTCTCAAAGTGCCTTCTCGGTCTGCAGGGTCCTTAACTGTTCCCCACCCCAACCTTCTAACAATGAGGCGCCCCACTGTGGTCAGAGGTGAGAGCAACTTCCACCAAAGCATGACTTTGTCGTTCTAAGGTTGCTTGTCGCACAGTAGGAATCTGTCTCTGCGTCTCACACGATGACCACTGACTCTGCCCCGGGTGGGGAAAGGCCAGAGAAAAGTCGACCTACCTCCATGCCCTCTGCAGGCAAGCATAAGCTCTTACTGCACCACCTATAACCACGTTCACATCAACAGGACTAACCTATGTGGTAAACCCAGCCTCCCCTTCTTTATAAAATTTCAAGTAACATTACATAGAAGGAAATGAATCATGGAGTTACTCTGAGAACAAAAATAGAAAAGGAAAATGCAAAAGGAATTTTCAAAAATAGAACATGTGCCAAAAACCACCCTGGCAGGCTGTGTTAGTGGCGGTCCCTCATCCGTCCCTGCATTCCTCCCAGAGGGACAGATACTTCTCCACTGCCTGACTTGGGGTTTAGCCACATGATGCTTTAGCCAACAGAGGGAGGGTATGTTGGGTCCTTGCATGTTTCTGCTTCTCTTTTTTCTTTAATCTATCTATCCATCCATCCATCCATCTAATTTTAAGTAAGCCCCACATTCAAGGTTGGGCTCCAACTCAACGACCCTGAGATCCAGAGTTGCCCTGCTCTCCCACCTGAGCCAGCAGGTGCCCCTGCTTCTTCTTGTAAGTTTCTGCCTTTTGGGGGGCGCCTGGGTGGCTCAGGCAGTAAAGTGTCTGCCTTCAGCTCAGGTCATGATCCCAGGGTCTGGGATCAAGCCGGGCGTTGGGCTCCCTGCTCAGTGAAGAGTCGGCTTCTCCCTCTCCCTGCAGGTCCCCCTGCTGGGCTCAATCTCTCTCTCAAATGAATAAAATCTTTTTTAAAAAGATTAAAAAAGAGGGCGCCTGGGTGGCTCAGTGGGTTAAGCCTCTGCCTTCGGCTCTGGTCGTGATCCCAGGGTCCTTGGATGGAGCCCTGCACCTGGCTCTCTGCTCAGCGAAGCCTGCTTCCCTTCTTCTCTCTCTGCCTGCCTCTCTGCCTCCTTGTGATCTCTGTCTGTGAGGCAAATAAATAAAATCTTAAAAAAAAAATTTCTGCCTTCACCACAGGGGAAAAGTTGCCCAGACCAGCCAAATGGCGAGAAGTGAGACTCGGGATGTGGAATTGCCCCAGAGCAGCAGCTCGGCGGAGCCCAAGCGGGATAAGCCAATCCCCCCTGGGCTGATACCTACGCTTATCAGATGCTTCTGGCTGACATGGCACCAAGATGTTGTTGCTGATTGTTATGAAGCATAAATTAACAACAGCTAACTGGTACAGCAAAGGTAGCTTATTTTAAAAATATAACTCATTGTACACTTGCCCCAAGTCTGTTATTTACCTCTTATAACATGAAAACTGCAGCATAATTCTGTACAAATGAAATGAACATTTCACGGTAGGATCTAAGGCCGGCAACAGACCTCTCAATCACAAGATGAAGAAATAGGTGCCCAAGATGAAATGCTTGCATTGATATCTCTTCCTTACCTTTCAGTTTATTGACTTCAACTTTAAGTGTCTTCAATTTCTGCTTGTAATCTTGCTTTTCTTTCACGATACACGTCTCCACCATCTTCGCGTCACGCAAGGCATGCTCTAACAGTTTAAATTTTCCCGAGCAGTCTGCAATGTGGTTGACGGCCTCGATAATATCTTTGTCCTAAGAACCAAATTTGAAGACTGTTCTGTAAGGTTTTTAAGTTTCAACTAATCAGTATAAGAAGATCTCACTTGTTAAGTCCCCACCATGTGCCAGGTTTTGTCCTAGATACCTTATTGTCGGTAACTAACGGGACCTCATGGGAACTCTCTGAGATGGTATTACCATTACCCCCACGTGATGGACGAGTCAAGAGTGAAAGGTCCACGGTTCCGCAAGTAGGTAGGGACGGAGCTCCGATTCGCTCCGATTCGCCCCGAGCGAGCTGGTCCCTCTCACCATGCGTAAACCACCACAGCTTACTGTTTCAGAAAGTTTACAACCACAGTGTGATTGCTTAAGAGACTGTAATTGCAGTACGAGAGCTGGTGGCCCTTGGAGGGGGGCCTACTCTCTGCACTACAGGTAAACCCACGGGCCTCTTTTCTACCCCTTTATTCCAGCTTGTTAAAATGGCAGACTCGAAGAGCAGATTCCCAAACTACCCAAATCAGAACCTCTTATTGTTGAGGTGATTGTTTTAATTACAAAAAAGGTATCTGCTTGTGGAAAATTCAAACAACACCTAGAAGTATAAACATACTAAATAAAGGTTCCCTCCCTCCCCCACTCACATAGAATGACTACTATTACAATAACTGTAATACAGAACCGTTCTCAGAAGCAGGTGTCACCCCTGCTTAAGGAAAGCCATTTCTCCTACAGCACCATATACACATTCCTAGAGATGCTCACGGTCTGCGCATCCCACACCATTTCAATTTACAGTAAAAACAGGGTTGGGAGACCAATGGAACTTCGTGATTAGACTGGTAGCAAAAAACAACAGGTCCATTAAGTATGCAAACCTGATGAGTCTTTTCCAGCATTTTCATTAGCACTCACAGCCTCACCAGGAGTTTGCCACAATGGAAACCAGGGTAGTTGTCAAAGCCACTAAATCGGTCACTATTTGACTAAAGACAATTCTGCAGATTTTAATATTTTCTCTTCAATTTTAAGAAAGCTTGCCCATGACCACTTTAAAACATTAAAATGCAGGGGGAAAATCACATAGGAACTGGCATGAAGGTCCCATTATGCCTAAACCATTCCCTAGTCACCAGCTGCCAAATACATGTTACAGCAGAAGAGACTGTCAGCCAGTCACTCGTCATGGCATGTTAGTGGCTCTATCAACTGCCAGATTGCTAAAAGTTCCTCTCTCCATTACAAAACAAAGAAACACTAACAAACAGTCTGTCAATGACTTTATGAGAACTAACACTGGATACCTTGGAAGAAAACAAGTTAATTAGGACATGCTAAACCATGGAGTAAGCCTTGGAGGTGAGACCAAAAGTGGAGTCCTGTCTCCTCCTTCGGTGTCTTGGGGACATCATTTTATGATGGGGACAACTTGTTTCCCTCATTTCTAAAATGTGTCTTACTTTAAAGATTCATTTACTTGAGAAAAAAAGTGCATGTGTGTGCATGTGGGGGGAGGGGCAGAGGGAGAGACCCTTCGAGCAGTCTCCCCACTGAGCCTGGAGCCCAACGTGGGGCTCGATCCCACAACCCATCCCACAACCCATGACCTGAGCCAAAATCAAGTGTCAGACGCTCATCTGACTGAGCCACCCAGACGCCCCTCATTTTTTTTTTTTAAGTTTTTAAGTAATCTCCACATTCAGTGTAGGGCTCAAACCCACAACCCTAAGATCAAGAGTCACATGCTCTACTACTCTAGCCAGTTACCCCTAAAATGAGAATTTTATTTTGCTTTATTTTTAAAGATTCTGTTTGAGAGTGAGTGAAAGTGAGAGAGATCACAGAGGGAGAAGTGGACTTGCCGCTGAGCAGGGAGCCCGATGTGGGACCCAATCCCAAGACCCTGGGATCATGAGCTGAGCCGAAGGCAGACGCCCAACTGACGGAGCCACCCAGGCGCCCCCCAACTAAAATAAGAATTTTAAAAGAGATAGTAACGTTGGTAGCTCTTCCATCTGATTTGCAAAGGGACTTGAGGAAGATAATGTATGTGACTACACTTATAAAGTACAAAGTGCCCTGGCAAATGAAGGTATCAGTATTTTGAATTACCTTTAGCTTTATCATTGTAGTGAGAGCCTGTTCTCGAGCTTGTAATTGTCCTACCTGGGCAGAAAGTTCCACTAATGTGTTGCTGAGATTTTCGTTTCTAGCCTACAAGGGAACAACACATAAAATACTAATTGAGTCATTTAAAAGTTTTCATTACCATCATTAGCCACAGTCTGTGCTCATTCTGTTTTAACATTCATTTAGTAACAAAGTGGGCCAAGTAAGCAGTCATCAAAAAGAAATACAAATATCTCTCTCCATTACCTCTAGCATCCTCTCCATGCTTATGTTTGCCCTACTGAATCATATTGGTTATGCTTACAAATGTCTATTTCCCAATCTCTTTTATGTTTAATTCTAGGCTGGCAAAAAAGAAATGAACAAAAATTGGATTAGTAAGAAATTTACTGAAATAAAGTAGCATTAGTGAACATCTATGTGCACGTGTGTGTGTGTGTGTGTGTGTGTGTGTGTGTGTGTGTGTGTATACATATATAAAATGTTTACTCTATGTTGAAAGACCTTCACTTCATACTGGGGTATTCCCACGTATCAGGTTTTTTGCAGGTTTTTCTGTTTTGTTTTGTTTTAACCACAGAACTACATAAGATATTTACTGGTTGGAAAAAAAAGAATAATGAGGTTTTTAAGATAGTATCTTCATGAAGGAAATTTAAATACATGTTACTAAGTAAAAGAAGCCAATCTGAAAAATCTGTATTCCATATGACTCCAACTATATGGTATTCTGGAAAAGACATTAACTAAAAAGGTCAGTGGTTCCAGGGGTTGGGAGAGACAGGGATGGAACACAGGATTCTTAGGACAGTGAAATTACTCTGTACAATACTACAATGGTGGATACATGTCATTATGCATTTGTCAAAACCCACAGAATATACAAACCAAGAGTGAACCCTAATGTAAACTATGACTCTGGGTGACAATGATGTGTTAACACATTCACTATAACAAATCTACTCCCATGGTGCAGAATGTGCATAGTTGGAGAGACTGTGTTTGGTGGTGGAGGCGGGGGTAGAGAAGAAATGTACGCATTCCACTGTTTTGCTGTGAATATAAAGCTGCTCTAAGAAATAAAGTTTATTAATAAAAAAAATAAAAAATAAAAATTTAAAAATAATTTAAAAATCTTCTTGCTATGAACTGAATTGCGTCCCCCCAAAACGCATATGTTGAAATCCTAACCTTCAATATGGTGTTATTTGGAGATGCTCCTTTGAGAGATAGTTAGGTGCGAAAGAGGTCATGATGGGATTAGTATCCTTATAAGAAAAGACACCAGAGATCTTTCTCATTCTCTCTCTCATACATTTCCCTTTTTTTTTTTTTTTAAGATAAGCTCTACGTCCAATGTGGGGCTTGAACTCACGACCCCAAGAACAAAAGTCACATGCTCCACCCACCGAGTCAGGCAAGTGCCCCCTGCATTTCCATTTTTTAATACAACATACCAATAGTTTACTTATTTTATAGCTAGAAACTGTCTAGAATAATAGCCTGAAAAAATAAAAAAGGCATTTTAAGAAACCAGCATAATATGAAGGCTAGAACAACAAAAATTTGGCTCTCTGTGCTGCTCATAAAACATGAGTTCAAAAAACACCTGATGACCAGTTAGAATTGAAAAGTGAAAAAAATCAGTCTTACAGATTTTATTCCCAATATGCACTCAAATGATGTAGATACTGTTTATCCTATCAGGGAAGGCACGTTTAGAAAGCATCACGTGAAGCTACCAAAACCTGATGCTATTCGTCTCAGACTTTGAGAAAGGCTTTCTAAAATAACCCGTTGTTCATAAAGTGATGGATGCTCCTAGACCAGATGGGCTGACAGTCACAAAAGGTGGTAACAAAGTTCATCTCCCAGACAACACAGCCCTGCACAGCCAAAGCCGTACAGTAAACACAAACCTTGTGTTCAGATGGATGGATCAACTTTTACACACACACACACACACACATACATTTTAATGGAAACATTTAAATCTAATTTCTTGATAACCTGAAACAGAATTTGGGCTAGCGAAGCTTATCACAAAATAAAACCAACCTCGAGGTCTTCAGAGAGGAGAGAGGAATGGGTTGCCTTTTGAGCCATTTCCTGAAGCTGTAGCTGAGTCTTCTGAAGAACCACCTGGCATTCAATTTGATTTGATTCAAGAGTTTTTACCTTCTTTGTGAGTGACCTGATTATTTCAGTTCTTTTATGTAGTTCACCTGAGGGAAATGTCATCGATGACTACCTTTTGATCAGACTGGAAGCTAAAATGCATTTTCAAACACACGATTAAAAGGTTAAGTGTGCTAAATAATTTTTTAAAGAATAATTTTCTTAAGATTGTATTATGGAACCCACGATACTGGACCCTAGTCAAGAAACAAGAGAGTCAGCAACCCTGCCCCCTGGATGTCACTTCCTAAGCACGATGTCTCCAATTCCCACCTTCCCAACCACCGTCCTGCTAATTGTTTGCCTGCTTTTTAATTATAGTGTTGCCACCTATGACCACATCCCTAAAAAATTTGATTTTAGCCATATATAATTGGGACCATACTCTATGAGTTCTTCCATTGATTCATCCACATTGTTGTATGTGACTGGTATTTGCGCACTGTTGTCACTACATGATATCCCATTATAGGACTACGCCGAAATGTATTTACTACCACTGATGGTCACTTGGGTTGTTTCCACTTTGCAGCTGTTATGAACAACACTGCTCTGAATATTCTTATACATGTATCTTGGTGCATGTTTGCAAGTTTCTCTAGAGCCTTGCTACTCCAATGGGGTCCTTGACCCAGCAGCGTTGACATCACCTGGTTAATCTGTCAGAAAAGCTCAGGCCACAGACCTGTTGTATCAGAATCTACGTAATAAGATCCTTAGGTCAATCACATGTACTCTGAACTGTGCATATATTCCTAGAAGTGGAAATGCTGGGCCATGAGCTAGGTGTAACTTTAACTTTACTAGATACTGTCAAATGATTTTCCAAAGTAGTGGTACCAACGGACACTCCCACCAGCAGGGAATGAGTCTTCCCTTGGCTCCACAACACCTGCTACCTTTACACATACCTGGTAATTTTTGCCAGTCTGGTAAGCGTAAATGGTATCTCATTGTGGTTTTAATTTGCATTTCCCCAATTACTAATGAGAATGAGAATCTTTTTTTCTAAGTAGGCTCCATGCTGGGCTTGGAGCTCCAACACAGGACTTGAACTCATGACCTGAGGTGAAATCAAGAGTCAGATGTTTAACCAACTCAGCCACCCAGGCGCCCCTCAAGTTTCTTATTTTAAAACCAGATACTGTTGGCTATGTGCAATGTCATCTTCATTCTCTTTAACACATTTGTATAAGGTATTATATATCACATCTAATGTGCGACCGAATCAAACACGATGTGTGTGGCTGGGTATGGTGAGAGGAAAATCAAATGATCATCAAAGAAATGGAAAACTATGCATATTTAAATGGTCAAGTTTACCTAGATGTCCAACAACAGATGAATGGATAAAGAAGATATGGCAGACTGTCAGGTTTATTGAATCCTTTGGGTAACAGAAGATAAAAAAGGAGGTGCAATGTAGTTATCTATTAAACAGATCTAAAGTTTTCCCTTCTGATACTGATGTCTGGTATTGATGTAGTATCACTAGAACATTCAGACCTTAGGGCAGCACTGATGGGATGACAGAATTAAAATATGGTACAAAGAAAATTTTTGTAAGCCATTTTTGAGACTGCTATATATTTTTTTTTTAAAGATTTTATTTAATTATTTTGTCAGAGAGAGAGAGGGAGAGAGAGCAAGCACAGGCAGACAGAATGGCAGGCAGAGGCAGAGGGAGAAGTAGGCTCCCTAATGAGCAAGGAGCCCGATGTGGGACTTGATCCCAGGACGCCGGGATCATGACCTGAGCCGAAGGCAGCTGCTTAACCAACTGAGCCACCCAGGCGTCCCGAGACTGCTATATTTTTAAAAGAGGACTATTTTAGATACTTAAGATCAAGTTCAATACCAAAAATTCAAAATCTTTCTATCAGTTCAACAGAAATGGCTAGTCCCATGGCATCTTTATTCATATTCTAGCTCAAAACTAATTTATTTTTCCTTTTTTTTTAAAGATTATTTATTTTTTTAAAAAGATTATTTAGGGGCGCCTGGGTGGCTCAGTGGGTTAAAGCCTCTGCCTTCAGCTCGGGTCATGATCCCAGGGTTCTGGGATCAAGCCCCACATTGGGCTCTCTGCTCAGCGGGGAGCCTGTTTCCTCCTCTCTCTCTCTCTCTGCCTGCCTCTCTGCCTACTTGTGATCTCTGTCTGTCAAATAAATAAATAAAATCTTAAAAAAAAAATTTTTTTTAAGATTATTTATTTATTTGAGAGAGAGAGAATGAAAGAGAGAGAGCATGAGAGGGGAGAAGTCAGGGAGAAACAGACTCCCCGCTGAGCAGGGAGCCCGATGTGGGACTCAATCCTGCAACTCCAGGATTATGACCTGAGCTGAAGGCAGCTGCTTATCAACTAAGCCACCCAGGCGCCCTCAAAACTAATTTCGTTCAGATTCATTATTTATTTATTTTACAGAGAGAGAGAGATCACAAGCAATCTCCCTGCTGAGCAGAGAGCTCCATGTGGGGCTCGATCCCAGGACCCTGGGATCATGACCTAAGCTGAAGGCAGATGCTTAACCCACTGAGCCACCCAGGCGCACCTCAGATTCACTCTTGACACTTCAGGTTAACTGGAGCTCACTCCACACCCTTTCTACATTTAAGCTGTCTGCCCAACTTTAATTCACATTGTGTTTATTCAACTCTGAGTGTTCATAAAGGCCTCCTACCTTCAATTAAACTAAACTCTAGGGCAGCAGGGACTGTGTTGAGATATTCTTTCTTTCTCTTATCTTTCCTGTGAGCCCCCTTTTCTCCCCTAACATATTTAATATTTAAATACATTTGTGTCTCGGGTGCCAGGGTGGTGGTTGGTTGAGCATCTGACTCTTGATTTCGGCTCAGGTCATAATCCTGGGGTCCAGAGACTGAGCCCCATGTCGGGCTCCATGCTCAGTAAGGAGTCTGCCTAAGGATTCTCTCCCTCTCCCTCTGCCCCCTCCCTGCTCGTACGTGTGCTCATTCACTTTCCCAAATAAAAATATTTATTTTAAAATAAATACATTTGTGTCTAACCCATGAGTCCTTTGAATAGGCTGGCATATAGAAGTGTGTAACAGGGGCGCCTGGGTGGCTCAGTGGGTTAAGCCTCTGCCTTCAGCTCAGGTCATGATCTCAGGGTCCTGGGATCGAGCCCCACATCAGGCTCTCTGCACAGCAGGGAGCCTGCTTCCCCCTCTCTCTCTGCCTGCTTCTCTGCCTACTTGTGATCTCTCTCTCTGTTGAATACATCAATAAAATCTTTAAAAAAAATAAAAAATAAAAATAAGTGCGTAACAGATACTGCTTATGTATTTCTGACCTTCTAATTTGCTGCAACGTTCTTCCAAAGTCAACACTTTCTGCCGATCCTCTTCCCATGAAAGAAGTTGTCTCTGATGTACTGCAACCATATCATTGAGCTCTTTATCACGATCTTTTAATTCTCCAATAAGCAGCTGCAGCTCTTTCCGTTGTTTCTCGATAGTGGAAATCTCAACTTCTGACCCGATGTTCTAAGCAAAGAAAGTGGTTTTACATCAAAAGAAAACTAATCAATAACATAAGTCAGCTGAGGCATTTTTTCCAAATAATTGTATCTTCTTTTGCTGCCAATTCAAGGCAGTTAAATTATTTTTTATTCACTGGTTATAACATGGCATCAAAATCGTGTAGATTTAAAACAATTTTTTTCATGCCTACTGTGCACTCTGCCTCTATAATTTCCTGTCATACCACACATGCCATTCTTAAAAAGTGGGACCATCTGTAAAACCTTCATTAGCTTATCACAAATAAACTCATTTTGGCATTTTGGTCTTTGCTGTCAACCCATTCCTTGTATCAATCAACAATATTACCCCACACTTTGCCCCAGCAATTCCCGGATCAATCAGGTAAAGGAAAACATGAAATAATTACTGTTTGAACGTAAATAAGTCTCATAACATCTAGCACGTAATCAATCTACCAAGAATAATGTAATACTGTGATTGGTCCAAACTCAACACACCTATTTATAAAGGAAAATTTTCAAACCTACACAGAAGACAAGAGAACTATACAATAAACTCTCTTATGTTCAGTACCTAAGTTCTACCATTATCAAGATTCTGTCACGTTTCAATTTTCCTTTCTCTTTTTGTTGTTAAAAAGAAAACTCACATATTTTGCATACCTCTCTAAAAATGAACACTTTTTATATCACCATGATGCCATTTCATACCTAATAAAATTATCTACAGTGATTCCCTTTATGCATATGTCATTTTACTTTTAGTCTTTATTTTTAAAGATTTTATTTACTTACTTGAGAAACAGAGATCACAAGTAGGCAGAGAGGCAGGCAGAGAGACAGAGAGAGAAGGAAGCAGGCGCCCGATTCGGCGCTCGATCCCAGGACCCTGAGATCATGACCTGAGCGGAAGGCAGAGGTTTAACCCACTGAGCCACCCAGGCACCCCGCGTATGTCATTTTAAACTAGATCGTGAAGTTGGTCTGACCTAAGTGTGAATCCAGATTTAACCACTTTAGTGGCTCTCTAACATTGCACAAGTTACTTAAGCTCTCTAAGCCTTGGTTTCCTCACCTGTAAAACGGTAATAGTAACACTTCAACTTCTTAGTTGTGTGGATTAAGCAAGATAAATTGTGTAAAGCACTCCACATTACCTGGCACAGCGTAAGCACTCAACAAACATGAGCTATCTTTTTTTAAGGAAATGTAAGGAAATATAAGGAAAAATACCGTTATATTTTTTTTAAAGATTTTATTTATTTGGTAGAGATTACAAGTAGTCAGAGAGGCAGGCAGAGAGAAAGAGAGGAGGAAGCAGGCTCCCTGCTGAGCAGAGAGCCTGATGCGGGGCTCGATCCCAGGACCCTGAGATCATGACCTGAGCTGAAGGCAGAGGCCTCAACCCACTGAGCCACCCAGGCGCCCCATTACCGTTATATTTTTTAAGGAAAATTTTTAGATAACAACTTAAACATGTGAAGGGATACATAGTTTTTCCAAACAGCTATTATTCATTTCAATATGGTACAGCTATTAGTACCATATTGAAATATGGTACTGCTCCTTAGCCAAGAAACAAAGAACTGAAAGTGTTACTTCAAGAATTCTATCTTAAAAATAGTAGTTAAAAGGAGCGCCTGGGTGGCTCAGTGGGTTAAGCCTCTGCCTTCAACTCGGGTCATGATCTCAGGTTCCTGGGACTGGCTGGAATGGGCTCAAAGCTCGGTGGGGAGCCTGCTTCTCCCTCTCTCTGCCTGCCTCTCTACCTACTTCTGATTTCTGTGTAATAAGTACATAAAATCTTTAAAAATAAATAAATAAAATAGTAGTTAAAAGTTCACCAGAGGCCCATGTATATCAATACTGCTTTCTGGAAAATAGGGATTTGTAAATAAATAATGATAAATGAATCACAGTTACTAACAAGTAAGCACAAAAAACGGAATTTGGGTCAAGTGATATCAAATCACAAGATTTAAATTCTAGTCTTTGATAAACCATTCATTAATTCACTGGACAAATCCTTGCTGAGCGCCAGGTGCTTGGGGATGCAGTAATGGGCGCGCAGGCAAAAAGCACAAATTCTGGCATAGGAAAACCGGCAACACGTCAAACGTGCAAAAAAAAAAAAAAAAAGAGAGAGAGAGAGAGAGAGAAAAGGGAAAAAAGCGCATTTCACCGTACTGATGAATGCCAAGCTCACTTTTCATCGTACACTCATAAATGCAAAGCTCGTTTTCAACCCTTTTTGGAAAACGGAGCCACGAGCGTTCTCCGCCCCTCGCAGGTCACTATGAAGGAAATTCAGGTCAGGAGCGAGGCGGCGCCGAGAAAAGCCCTCTCCAAAAGCCCGGGAGTCGTTACAAAGTGAGCACCTCGTTACTCGCCGCTCGTCTCGGCGCCTGGGCCGAATGTCGTTCCTACTAAGAGAAGGGTGCAGACGCTCCGTTTCTCCTCTTCGTAGTGTATCGTTTTCCATTTTAAGGAGAAACCGTTCCTTAAAAACCACCCGGGTTCGGCCAGAGTGCTCCCCGTCCCGCGAGAATCGCTGTCCGCTCGCTCCCGGACGCGCCGGCGGGGACGCTGAGCCCGCGGCTGCCGCTCACCTGGCGCCCGGCGAGAAAGGTCGCCGAAGGGTTCATGGGTGCTTCCTCCGCCCCCGGAGAAAGTCGGTGAGCGCAGGGTCACCTTTCAAACGCCATAGGCGCTCCTGCCCGGAGCGGGGGGCGAGCCCCGAACCCCGGAGCCCCGCGCCCTCGGCCAGTCCGAGCAAGCACCCAAACCGCCCGCCCAGAGGAACGCGCCCGCCGGCCCCGCTACGGCGTCGCCGAGGGGCCAACCCCGGCTCTCGCGAGACCTCAGGTGCGCCGTCCTGGCTCTCGCGCGGGCGGGTCCGGGGGCTGCAGGCTCTTGGAAGGTTTATCGGCGGTAGTGAGGTTCACCAGCCACGGTCAGCAAAGAAACGGTTCTTCACCGCTACCCAGAGAACCAGGGCTTAAATTAAAGGCCGTTCCTGCCCGTCACCCCAGTTTATGACGGTTGACCTGCTCACTTCTCTCCCGGTCTTGTTGGCGGGCACTGAGAACGGTGCCTGGCCATTCACACGAATGCCTGGACGGACGCAGACGCCAGCCCCGGGAGTCAGATGCTGGCCAGCCAGCAGACAGCTCGAAACGAATAATCAACAGATGGCGGGGAGAGGGCGATTTTTTGTTGTTGTTTTGGCTCTTGATGAATCTTTTGAATAGCAATGAGAACTTAGACACTTGGTCATGACAAATTCTACCACATTCTGGGGTGAATCTAAGCTTTTTCTCGTGTTATCTCATAGTCACCCTTCTTCCTTTCACTTGTTATACAGGAACTAAAAAAATGAAACTTAACTACATTCAACCTCTGATCGCCCACCCCCTACCGTTTAACCCATAACCTGGCATTAGTGGCAAGACAGATTACCAAATATGGTGTGATAGTATTTCACCTTTGACTATGAAGAACAAAGCATGTCCTTGTGTTCACAAAGGACAATCTCAAAAAAGGAAAAATTAACATGTTTTGAGGCTTTACTGATTTGAGTGGCATTTGCCTCCTTAGGATAGGACTGTTGAGGAGAACCAACAAGACAATGTCTAATATCTAAAATCGGGAAAGCCAATCCTGACTAGTTAAAGACATCCTATCAGTAGATCACTGTACAGTTAAGTCTTGGTGGAATGAGAAAGATAAAAAGGAATGTGGTTGAATGTCAACTTTCCAGTTAAGGAGCGTTTCAATTCAGGTTTCCCAAATTCCACCATTCCAAATTCCATTGTTAAAATGTGGCATTTTTCTACCAGGCAACCACATGCCTAAAACTCTCTAAAAATATGTATACAGGGGTGCCTGGCAAACTGGGTGGCATTTTTTTTTTTTTAAGATTTTATTTATTTGACAGACAGAGATCACAAGTAGGCAGAGAGACAGGCAGAGAGAGAGGGAGGAGGAAGCAGGCTCCCTGCCGAGCAGAGAGCCCAATGCGAGGCTCGATCCCAGCACCCTGGGATCATGTCCTGAGCCGAAGACAGAGGCTTTAACCCACTGAGCCACCCAGGTGCCCCCTGGGTGGCACTTCTATTCTTGATCTCAGGGTCCTGAGTTCAAGCCCCACATCAGGTGTAGAGATTACTTAAAGATACAATCTAAGGGGTGCCTGGGTGGCTTAGTTAAGAGCCTGACTTTGGGCCATGATCTCAGGTTCCTGGGATAGAGCTCCCTATTGGGCTCCCTGCTCATCCAGGAGTCCGCTTGTTCCTCTGCCTCTCCCTCACACTACCCCATGCACTCTCAAATAAATAAAATCTTTCAAATACAGAATTTTAAGAAGTATGTGTACAGGGACGCCTGGGTGGCTCAGTTGGTTAAGCAGCTGCCTTCGGCTCAGGTCATGATCCCGGCGTCCTGGGATCGAGTCCCACATCGGGCTCCTTGCTCATCGGGGAGCCTGCTTCTCCCTCTGCCTCTGCCTGCCATTCTATCTGCCTGTGCTTGCTCTCTCTCCCTCTCTCTCTCTGATAAATAAATAAAATCTTTAAAAAAAAAAAAAAAAGAAGTATGTGTACAGACAGAAAGTAGTAAGAAATGAGGCTCATTTTATGGGATTATAGTTGGTGAGTAAATAGAATGTGGTGAGAATACAATGACTAGTTGTGTATCAAAAACCTCAGTATTTTAAGTTCACTCACTCCCACAGGTTTTCTTTAAAACAGAAAAGAGGGACTCCTGGGTGGCTCAGTCAGCTGAGCGTCCCACTCCTGATTTTGGCTCAGGTCATTTTCTCAGGGTCATGAGATCCAGACCCACCTAGGGCTGTGCACTGGCAATGGAACCTGCTTAGGATTCTCTCTTCCTCTGCCACTCCCCTCCTCAAAAAGTAAGTAAATAAATAAAACAGAAATGACCTTTGAAGTTATCTTTTAAAAATACAGAAAATGTTTTACAAAATCTCCAAGCAGGGATACCTGGGTGGCTCAGGTCATGATACCTTTGGCTAAGGTCATGATTCCAGGGTCCTGGATTCGTGCCCCACGTTGGGCTCAACGGAGGGCCTACTTCTCCCTCTCCCTCTGCCCCCTCCGCTGTTATGCGCTCACACTGTCAAATGAATCAATCTTAAAAAAAAACAAAAACAAAAACAAAACTCCAAGCATTATACTGCTTCTGAATTTACACTCAGTCTGATGAACTAAACAGACTTATTCCTATCTCCCTATTTCCTAAGTAATTTAAAAAATAACAAAAACAGGATCTAAATGATAGACTTCATCTTTAAAATTGCAATTTATCAATTCTTTAAGAGCAAAAAAGCTATCAAGTTTTTTTTTGTTTTTTTTTTTTTAGGATTTATTTATGGGGTGCCTCAGTGGCACAGTGAGGTAACCATCTGACTCTTGGTTTTGGCTGAGGTAAAATCTCAGGTCAGATCTGACCCTAGCTCAGGGTCCTGAGATGAGCCCTTTAACAGGATATGCACTCAGCACAGAGTCTACTTGGTACTCTCTAAAATGAACAGATTTAGACAGAGAGCAGGAGTAGGAGGGACAGAAGGGCAGAGGGCAGGGAGAGAAATCAAGCCAACTCGACGCTGAACGCAGAGACTGATGGGGGGGCTGGATCTAAGGACCCTGAGATCATGACTTGAGCCAAAACCAAGCACGTTTACCATGTATTTTATCTTTTTTTTTTAAAGAGATTTTATTGATTTATTTGACAGACAGAGATCACAAGTAGGCAGAGGCAGGCAGAGAGAAAGGGGTGGGGAGCAGGCTCCCTGCTGAGCAGAGAGCCCCATGCGGGGTTCAATCCCAGGACCCTGATATCATGACCTGAGCCAGAGGCAGAGGCTTACCCCACTGAGCCACCCAGGCGCCCCTCATGTATTTTATCTTAAGCAACAGCTGATTTACTGAGGCTTCTATATAGTAACTAAAATGGAATGTAAAATCACTTATCTGTATCTACTTTTTTTAAGAGAAAATACTGCATATCAAAGCTGGGTTTGCATTTAAATTGCCAGCTTAACTGCGGCAAATCGCTTACAACTATGACATAAGGCTGTTTTAAAGGTTTATACTCTTTTTGCTAAAAATACTAGACTGCAAAAACATTTACGTAATACATACATAAAAAGGGAATGTATGAATTAAAGTCAATCCTTGAATTTAGCACATTTTCATTAGGGATTAAACTAATGCTCCATTTTAAATTTCAGGTCGAAGAAAAAGATTCACACGTTATACACAAGGACAATTTTAATCCTCCATTATCCTGCAGTAACATCCACTGCTGGCTTTATATGGATTAAAACTGCATTTGCCAAGAACTGTGAACATTGAGAATCTTTACACGAAGTCACATGGTTGATACAGGCACAGACATCTTCCAGCACCAACAGAATACATACACAACACATACCAAATGGATAAATTTGCTTCATCAGATACTCCTACTATTTAGTAAAATTCACAGTTAATGCAGAATTTCGTTTTCTTAATTTGCATCTTTATTACACATTTTTTCCTTAGATTTTAATTATTTAAAAAAAAACATTCATTCGAGGTTGTAATTTGCATGGCAATAAACAATGGGTTCTGAATTTCTTAAAGGTGTCTTTAGCGATTTAAAATACCAGGGGTTTTCTTTTAAATTTGCAGAGCCTAACTTAAAACCTTTATAAAAACAAAGTTTAAATTCACTCAGTGCATTCATTAAAACTCACTGTCACTGTTTCTCTTCTGAGGAAGACTCATTTCAATTGCTATTTCCCAGATTTCATATATATATTGAGTATCGGTGTATATTCTTTTCAACTGGCTACAGGATTTCACTCCCAGAATTGATAGCCAGAGCAAGAACTCGGCAGCATCTCTGAATGACCTTCCACTCAAAACAACAGTAATAGTAACGTATAAAATGAATTTGGGGTCTGCCCCTCCCCACTTAAAATCACCAAACAGGTTTCCCAAATATTTCTGGAAAATATTAAAAATATATGCATAATATTTTATCATATGGTGCACCATCATTCTTTAACCATTTCCCAATTGTTCATTTGTATCAGTTGCAATTTTTTTGTATTTATGAGGAACATTGCGATGACCACCCTCACCCACAGTTTTAAGCAAGAATGATTCTATCTTTAGGATAATGTCAGCTAAGTGGCTTACTGGGTCAGACTGCAGATGGTTTTAAGGCTTTGATATACTTTACCAAATAATCTCCAGAAGAGTGTGAACAAGTCCTACCAACATTAAGTTAATGTGACCACAAAGTGGACTTGGTTGCTAACAATGAAGCAAATTCAACCACAAATCTATCAGATGCCCAAGCATCTCAAAACTATCACACCAAAGAAGCAAGGAGACAATTATTAATGGTGATGAAGCCAAAATTCAAATTCTTCAAAATATTACTCAGCTTTAAATCATGATTTCACTAAATCATGATTACTTTAAGATAATAAACAGAAAAGTTTTGCACAAAAAAATCTAGTGTTTTTCCAAAAATAAAAAGTTAATAACAGAAAGAGAAAAGTCAGTACCAAATGACCAAAAATTTTTATTTGACTAAATTCTATTTCATGCATTAGCATGACAGTCTCCCCTGTTTATTAGACTTTGGCAATAAAAAAAAGAAGCAGCCTTATACAGAACAGTGAAAATGCCAAGGGTGAGGGTAATCTACAGTTTTACTGTAGGATAAATATATATATTTTTAAAAGGCCTCTCTCCCTTTGGCCATATCAACTCTCAGTTCAGATCATTAAATAGAGACAAATTTTCAAAAATCACTTCTTTACTTCTCCAAGATCTTCAATGCTATCATCATCCACCTATAAAACACAAATAATTACATCTCATGAACTGTGGTATCAGATAAGCAACTTGCTTTAAAAACTTATATCCACAGGTGCACATGTTCTACCTACTCACCTCTGGCCATTTTTCCTGAATGACATCAATTATGTCATCTGTAAAGTCTCCCTGAATGATGATTTCATCCTCTCCTGTTACTGAGGCACCACAGGAGAATTTCTGAGCAAAAAATCTTTGTGCTTCTTTAAGATCAATTTCTGTTATTTTAAAAAAATAAACAAGTTTATAATTAGAATTATATATCAAAAGTATTTTTCAAGTTTGAAATTTTAAAGATTTTATTTATTTATTTGACAGAGAGATAGAAGAGCACAAGTAAGCAGAGCGGCAGGCAGAGGGAGAGGGGGAAGCAGGCTCTCCATGGAGCAGGGAGCCCGATGTGAGGCTCCATCCCAGGATCCTCGGATCATGACCTGAGCCGAAGGCATACACACTTAACCAACTGAGCCACCCAGGCGCCCCCCATTTTAAAATTTAATCTGTATCTTAATTTCATAAAACAGAATGCCTTAACAGGTTTATATTCCTCTCATGGTAATTACAAACTACCACAGGCAGTGGTCTTCTTAACCATTCAACTTGTATTTTCAACGTCAAATAAAGCTTCGGTATATAAAAATAGTATTATTTGGGGGGGATGGAGTAACCGGGTATGATGGGCATTAAGGAGGGGACATGACGTAATGAGCACTGACTGTTATATGCAACTGATGAATCACTGAACTCTATCTCTGAAACTAATAATACACTATATGTTAATTAATTGAAGTAAAATTTAAAATAAAAGATGCATTCTCTCTCTCTCTCTCTCACACACACACACACACAGACATTATTCATACCATTCTTAACTCATATAGTAAGACCAAAATAAATCCAGGAACACATTAATTCCAGGCATTAACATATACATTTCCAAGTACAATGCAGTTCTTCTGTTTATCCCTTTTTACAAGAGCAATAGTTAGAGCAGGGAAACAAATCTATTACCTAATGACTGTTTTTCAACTGTGTTGTCACAGGAAGGGACCTTGGTTTACAATTTCACTGTTCATTCAAGGCCTCCAGAAGGAGCTCTGAAGCAGGACATTCTGCTGATATCCACATTCCCTCACCCTCTGCTACTGTTCTCAGAGGGCACAAGCCATTCTGCAGCCTTTTGCCATCTAGCCTGCAGGGACAGAGGAGCAGGACTGATAGGCTTCAAAAGGAATCCTACCTAACACTCCTCATTCCACATAAAATATGCTCAAGCAGGTCTTCTGTAAAGGAAAAAGTTTAACTAGTTCCCTTTGCTAAACATTTTTAAATTTCTTCAAAATCTGATTTTGAAGCTATACTTAGACATGCAAAATCTCATTTTGTGTCTTCTTAGCAAAAAATAGACCTGTAAAATTTTCATGATGCCAGATTAAAAAGAGACAGAAAGACCAAGACAGAGACAGAGAGAGGGAGAGAGGGAGGCAGAGAGCAACAGAGACTATAGTTCACACATTTTAAACATACTTAAACTTGAACTCACCGAAAGTTGCAAGGCCACATACTCTTGTTACATATTTCTTCTTTGCTCTAGGAATTTTGGCTATCGTAACTTTTTGTGGTACAGTCTTCTTTTTTTGCTTTATTTGACCCCTTCCACCTTTATTTATTAAAAAAAGAGTTCCGCATCAATTGTTTTGGTCATAAAGAATACCGTCTTAAGCTTACTAATTTTCCAAAAATACCAAATATTAATTTCTAAAGTTTCTTCTTCTAACACAAAACTAATAAACATATGCGTGAGTATTTGTTCAATAAATATTTATTAAGTGATATGTACCAAGCACTGCACCAAGGGCTGAGGACACAAAGATGAACAGAAGAAAACATAGTCCCTGCCCTCCAGGGACTCTCAGTCTAATGAAAGAGACAAAAAAAGTTTAATAATTACTACAACTGGTATATACTTCAACAGGAACCATGAATACTGCACACCACCATGGCTTTGCAGAAGAATGGCTTATTCAGCTTCTGGAGAACAGAAAAGCTTTCCCAGAAGAAATGGCATCTAAGTTCTTATAGAAGGACTGGAGAGATACAGTAAGAAAGGCTATCCCAGGAGAAGAAAATAGTACAGAAATAAGAGAAGGCATTATATTTGAGAACTACAATTGTCTCGATGAAGGATGCTTATGGATATGTTAGGAGATAAAGCCAGAAAAGTAAATAATTACCTACCAGTCAAAGAACCAGCAAGACAAGCTTTGTTGTTTGATTTTATATTGAGGCAGAAGAAAAGCCACTGAATGAATGAAGGAGTTGGGAAAAAAAAAAAAAAAAGATTTAGGTTTTAGGAGATCACTCTATAGCATCTAGGGTGAGCCTTTAAGGATTAAGGCCAGCAGAGAGCTACTGCAGGATCCTATATTAGTTTAGGTGGAAATTAATCAAAATCTAACAAAGCAGTGGTAAAGGTAATATCGACCAGGCACAGGACAGATTAAGGAGAAGAATAACAGAATTTACAACTCACTGAAAGGAATTAATACTCAATAAATTAAGGAAGATGACTATAAAAAAAAAAAAAAACTGATTAAGAGGACCAAAGAAGGGAGGTCTGGGTGGTTCAGTCAGTTAAGCAGCTGCCTTCGGCTCAGGTCCTGATCCCAGGGTCTGAGGATCTAGTCCCGAATCACGCTCCTTGCTCAGCAGGGAGCCTGCTTCTCCCTCTGCCTGACACTCCCCCTGCTTGTAATCTCTCTCTCTCTGACAAACAAAATCTTTAAAAAAGAAAAAAAAAAAAGGAGCAAAGAAAGAGAACTCTTGGCAAGTGTCAGCTTCTGGCTCAGATGAATGGATAAAGTATGCTGTCAATAACCAAAAAACATAGATTTGGGACTTAGTAAGTTTGGTTTTCTTGGAAATACTGCGTCTGAGGTGCCTGTGGGACCACACACACTGGCAGAGTCTAGAGATAAGGCCAGGACTAGAGGTACAGATCTAGGAATTTCAAGCATGTAGAGTGGTGTCAGAAGTTAGGGATGTGAAAGAATCATTCAGGGAAAAAACTACAGAACGAGGAGGTTAAGAGGGCCGAGCACAGGATCCTGGAAAATACAACTTCTTAGGGACAGAAGGGAGAAGAGAAGCCTGCACGGAAGACCAAAGAGGAGTGAGCGACAGGGAGGATGAAGAAAGTCTGTTGCAAAAACTAAGGAAGTATATGGCACTTCAAAGGGCGTGCTCAGATGTTCTTATTGCTTGGCAATTACTGAGCCACTGATGACCCCCACGAGAGGAATTTCAGTGGTGTGACAGTCAGCTTAGGGTGGAATGAGGCAGAACAATGAAGGACAGAAGAGCAAGGACAGTGAGTCTCTAGTCTTCCTACAAAAGTCTGGCTAAGAAGGGCAGGGCAAGGGATAAGGTAAAGAATGGGCTCAAGAATTTTTTCAAGAAAAATTCTTGAAAGATGCACAGTCCTTATTTATAAGCTAATTTTAGTCATAGGGGAGAATAATTAAGGCAGAAGGAACAGGCAGGGACAGGATCCAGAGTATAGGAATTCATTTTAGCAGCAGGTAGAGAGGTATTAAAAAAAAAAAAAAAAAAAAAAAATTAACCGAGCTGACAACTTGAGAGAATATCTTTTATCCATGTCTTCAACTCTAACTAAATAGAATACACAGGTATTTAATAAGGTAACAAAGTTTTCATGTCATCAACAAGATGGCTGGTTGCTTTTTGCATATGAACACAGCAAATAAAGTGTGTTTTCTTAGATCCAATTTACTGTAAAAGCCCAAATCATATGACTCTGTGCGGCTCTGCAGGGTACACATATGGAACTACAGCAGCAGGGAGACATTACTGGCTCTGGGACTGTCCTCATTATGTATTTCCTCTGACAGAGAGAAGGTGTGTTTATATAAATGAAGTCGCGGATTTAGGCCTTACCTCTCTTCTGCTTTTTCTTCTCTTCCTCTTCCCCTGCTGTGCCTTGACCCTCTGTAATTCCAGCTTCTTGTTTCGGTGAATTTTCTAGATGTTAACAATGAAATCCAAAAGCATTAACATTACTTCAAAATAACCTTAAAAAAAATCACCTTTGAGCAACTTCATACACAAATAAGGCATCTTGCCAACAACTGAGCATGCTGTTTCTAAAGCAAATGATTACATTGCTAAATTCCTATCTAGTCTAATTCTGGTCATTATGATTAAGTGCATGATGATATATGAAGATTAGATCCTTTCAGCACAAAAAAGGAGCACAAAACACTCAGACTCTGCAGGCATGTTTACATCTAAACGTACTAACCTAACCTAGGTAACAGAAGTCTGGGCCTAAGAAGACTCCTTCCTCGGGTCTTATCAAATCCTAGGCAGGTCACAGGCAGGTCATGCCTGGGCTGACCGTGACCTCACAGACTATAACACCCAACTTTAGGGTTCTTATCCAACCACAGAAATGACTGTAGCTACTATCCAAAAAGACCTTCTATGAAGTTTCAGGGATTGTGCCTCTTAGAAACAATCTGACAAAGCAGCAAAATAGTGGAATAACATCAGGGTCATCTGATAGGCCTGTTTCGAGCCCAGGCTCTCCCTTCTTCCTGCTTCTGCCTTCATTTCCACCCATCTTTAAGAGAAGCCAACAGTTTTAACAAAATGAAGAAATCTGTTCTCTGCAGTCTTCCTTTCCTCTGGCAACAGCAACTCCATTCTTCTAGTTGCCAAAACCCTAGATGCCTCCTTTTCTCACATCCCACATGCAGTACATCAGAAAGTCCTGTCAGCTCTACCTTCAAAACACATCGAGAATCTGCCTACATTCCCCGCCTCCACTGCTACCACTCTAGCAGGTCATCAGGTCTCCTGATGTGATTATGGCCGCAGCCTCTCATCTGCTCTACCTTCAAAACACATCAAGATGGGCGCCTGGGTGGCTCAGTGGGTTAAAGCCTCTGCCTTCGGCTCAATCATGATCCCAGACTCCTGGGATCAAACCCCGAATCGGGCTTTCTGCTCAGCAGGGAGTCTGCTTCTCCCTCTCTCTCTGCCTACTTGTGATCTCTATCAAATAAATAAATAAAATCTTTGGGAAAAAAAAAACAAACAAACACATGGAAAATCTGCCTACATTCCCCGCCTCCACTGCTACCATTCTAGCAGGTCACTGTGGTCTCCTGACGTGATTATGGCCGCAGCCTCTAATCCGCTCTCCCTATATTGCCTGTGCCCTCTTCAGTCTATTCTTTAGCACAGTAGCCAAAAGAGATGCTGTTGAAACAAAAGTCGGACCTTATTGCTCTTCTGTTCAAATCTCTCTGATAGTTCCACATCTCATTCTGAGTAAAAGCCAAGACTAGGCCTTTAAGGTGTGGTCCTCCATTAGCTCTCTGACTTCATCTCTGACCCTTCCCCACCCCCTTGATAAGCTCCAGACACAAAGGCTTCCTTGGTGTTTCCCGAATGACAGGTAACCTTTTACCTTAGGGCCTCTGCACTTGCTCCACACCTGGAATATTCGTCCAGATAGCCAAATGACTCACTCCCTCACTTCTTTAGGTCTTTGTTCAAATGCAGTCTTTTCAGCAAAATCTTTCCTGCCACTACCTAAAATTTCAAATTCTTTCCCTAGTAAGTCTTATCTCCCCATTCCCTGCTGATCACTATTTAACATACTTATTTATTTTACTTAGTCTCCCCTTTCTGATATAATTTCCAAAGAGCAGATCTTTTGTTTACTGCTTTATCCCCAGCATCTAAAACAAAGTATACATATAGTATGCTCACAAGGAGTAATTTGTTAAATTAATGAGTGAAAACACATTTGCTCCTAAACCTTCTTCTAAACTTCTCCTAAGAAGTTATTTTAAACTGTATCAGAGAGGTTAAGACACATGAAGCAGTGTATGACTCTATACAAGGAATTTTAACCCGAGAACGAAAAATTGTTTTGAAGCTAATTGGTATAAATACAATTCTGTAATATACTATTTACTGCTACTAAAAAAGCACTTTCATATCTTTAAAATAATGCCTTATGTGCATTTGTTTCATATATACAAACATTCAGATGAAAGAAAAAAATGTTCATACCTACAGTAAGTTTTGCAAACTCATTTGGAAAATTCTTCTCTAACCACTGTCGACATTTAGCAACATCGGGCATATATTCACAGTACTGGGGGAGTGGGGGCAGGGAGAACAAATTGAGTCACAACAGAACATTTTCAATCAACCAGTACATCTTAATTCATTCCCTATTATTTGCTATATTAAGAATGATAAAACCAACTACTCCCACCCTACACTTTATCCACAGGAATTCTGTATTCCACCAGGAAATGCCCCATAAGAAATTAGGATTTTAAAAAGGATTAAGCAGCTCCTCACTGTAGTAATCAAAACAGAAGGGCCATTAGAAAAAGGAGCAAACAGAAAAAAAACGAGCATGTTCACTTCTTGCTTTGGACACTCAGGTGTCTCACTATTTTTGTGACTTGCCCACAGATCCTGACTCAGAAGCTTATTTACAGAAAATCTTATACATAATTTTAACTTATACTTTCCTCTGCTTAGACATTAGATTTTGGCTTTAACTCTAATCGTTTTCTTAGGTAACTATTCCTAAGTTCCAAGGAAAAGTCCAAACTGTACAGCCAAGTACAAAAGATGTACACATATGATACAAAGACTAAAGAAAACAATGTGTAAGACCATAAAATTATTCTAACCCAAAGTTCTCTATAAAAAGTTGAAACTCAACTATCAAATGACAGAACATGAAAAATAAAGTTCTCAGGCTAGCTCTAAAAAGCAATGACCTCAAATGCAGAAGGTAAAAAAAGAAAAGAACTTTTAAAGGACTTACCTCTGTTGGTAATGAACAGACTGGGGAAATGGAGAGAAAAAAGATTAGAAAATTTTAATATATAAACACACATGGTTCATCCCAACTTTTAAATTTGACAAAATGCTTCATTTCTATTTTTTCCTATAATCCTGTATCACTTTTCAAACACCACCCATCTTTTTTTTTGGGGGGGAGGTAAAAGCCACATGGTTCATAGAGATAATTCTATTTTTTGTTTGTTTTTAATCTAAAGAAGACCATAACCCTCAGTTGGTGGGACACCAAACTATACTATCCTGCATATCTTAAGGTTTTACCATAATCACTTCAATGGGTCTGAAGTTAAGCTGAGAATAATTCCCAACACAACAAAGCTTGAAAGGAAATGGTTATTTCCTTCCATAGTTTTACCAAAACAGCCACCAGTTTTTATTCATACTAACACATTCATAGACTTCAGTAGCACTTTTGCTACCATTTCTTTGCAATATACATTTCCTTTTCTTTTTCATATTGTGCTACATAAGATAAGACAACTGTAAAGCTAGAGGGAACGTGGCTCCAATCCTGTCCTTGTATAGACTACATGGGCTAAGAACTAGAAGAACTCAAAAGGTTTCCCAATTCTAAACAGAATTGTTACTGGGTCAACCATTTTGTTTTTATTTTTAAGGTGAAGAACTGAATAGCTCAGTGTGCCCAATATCCTGAGATTTGTGACGGAGAAGAGGGCTGGTACACCATTACTCATCACAGCAATTATCGTTACATGCATTATTATGTGTCACCACCACCACCCTGTAAGTAAGAATCACATCAACATTACCAATAGGTAAGTAACCTGCTGCATTTGGTTAGTAGAACAGGATTTGAACCCTGGTCAGTTTCTGAAGCCCTTAACCATGAAATCAGATTACATGACACACACAGACAGTGTAGCTGTGTGCCAGCCACGTGACTGTGGTATGCCTCCTCCTCATCCCACCATCACGTTTTTTACAGTTGAAGCTCTAAAAAAGGTTCAATAGTTCAGCCAAGGACTAAGGTGGTAGGTACGTGGCAGAAGAAATTTAGCACCTTTTTATTTCTTGTTGTTGTTGTTTTCTATTTATTTATTTAATTTTTTACTATTAACATATGACGTATTATTTGCCCCAAGGGTACAGGTCTGTGAATCATCAGTCTTACACATTTCACAGCACTCACCATAGCACATACCCTCCCTGCTATCCATAACCCCGCCACCCTATCCCTCCTCCCAGCCCCCAGCAACCCTCAGTTTGTTTTGAGAGATAAAAGTCTCTTATGGTTTCTCTCCCTCCCAATCCCATCTTGTTTCATTTTTTCCCTCCCTCCCCACCATGGCCCCCAGCCCTGCCTCTCAAATTCCTCATATCAGAGAGATCATATGGTAATTGTCCTTCTCTGATTGACTTATTTTGCTTAGCATAATACCCTCTAGCTCCACCCATGTCGTTGCAAATGGCAAGATTTCCTTTCTTTTGATAGCTGCATAGTATTCCATTGTCTGTGTGTGTGTGCACGCGCGCGCACGCACACCCCCCCCCCCCACATCTTCTTTATCCATTCATCTGTTGATGGACATCTAGGTTCCTTCTGTACTTTGGCTATTGTGGACATTGCTGCTATAAAGATTCAGGTAGCACCTTTTTATTTCAAGCGTAGAGATCTTTCCACCAAAGCTCTCCCTGGTTAACCACAGCTCTATAATCCTCACAGTTCAAGTTCAAATACCAGTAGGTACAGATATTCAGCCACACTTTCAGGATAAAATTATAGGTTAAATACCATTATAGCAAATACTAAAGCTATAAAACTTTGTACACCACTTCAAAGAATATTCAGTTCAACAAAATTCTAATACAATGAAAACATTTGGACAGTTCACTGTTACTTGGTTTTTTTTTTTTTTTTTTAAAGGTTTTATTTATTTATTTGACAGAGACATAGTAAGAGAGGGAACACAGGCAGGGGGAGTAGGAGAGGGAGAAGCAGGCCCGATGTAGGGCTCCATCCCAAGACCCTGGGATCATGACTGGAGCCGAAGAAAGACGCTTAAGGACTGAGCTACACAGGCACTCCTGTTACTTGCTTTTAAAGTCCAATTCCTGGGACACCTAGGTGGCTCAATCGGTTAAGTGTCTGCCTTTGGCTCCGGTCATGATCTCAGGGTCTTGGGATCAAGTCCCTTATCAGGCTTGCTGCTTGGCGAGAAGCCTACTTCTCCTTTCCCTCTGCTGCTGTTCCCCCTGCTTGTGTGCTCTATCTCTATCTCTCTAATAAATACAATCTTTAGTAAATAAATAAATAATAAAGTAAAGTTAATTTCCTTTCCTGTAAACCACTCCTTTTCGACATGCCGATTGAGCAGTTACCATCAAGCTTGGCATCACTCATAGTGCAATTCCCTGACATTATGTACTTGCTGATGTGATGCAACATGAAGAACAAGTCATCATCGGCCATGAAACTTTCTGCTACGGTCTGAATGTTTGTGTCCCCTCAAAATTACTATGTTGAAATCCTATAATCCAATGTGATGGCGTTAGAAGGTGGAGCCTTTGGGTGTATTATTCATTCTTCCCTACAGCCTTATGAAGTAAGCTCTTTTTTCTTTTCTTTTTTTTAAAGGTTTTATTTATTTATTTGACAGAGAGAGAGATCACAAGTAGGCAGAGAGGCAGGCAGAGAGAGAAGGGGAGGCAGGCTCCCCGCTGAGCAGAGAGCCGGATGCCAGGCTCAATCCCAGGACCCTGAGATCATGACCTGAGCTGAAGGCAAAGACTTAACCCACTGAGCCACCCAGGCGCCCCTGAAGTAGGCTCTTTAACAGACGAGGGAACTGGCCGAGGTCACACAAGTAAGTAAATGGCTGGGGCAGGATTCAAATTCAGAATGAGTCTGAAGTCACAATCCTGAAGACAAAATGTCTCCCCAGAAAGCACACCATCCTACCTACCTGTTTCTCACTCTACTCCAACCAGCACTGTTACAATCAGCCCTTTCTTTTCCCTCTCTCCTGAAGACACTATATTAAATCTTACCACCATACTGTTCTTGTGAATTCCTTCACCTTTCCTTGCAAATTCCACCCTGTATTTAAGGCTTCTCATTTCCTTGGAAATTTCCCTACTTCCCTCTGAACAAAGATCCCTGCTCTTCCTCAACTCTAATTCATAGCTACACTCAGTACTGTTTAATTTAGCATTTAATACTGAGTGCTTCTCCTACAACTAGACCATAAATTCCTTAAGGAAGTACCTTGTCCCCAGCTTAGTGCCTGGGACATCAATATAAACTAGGAGGGAAATGAAAATAAACCCTTCTTGAAAAGGTTAGGGACCTCTGGTGAACACAAATTATCACAGGGGTGCTTGCGTATTTTGTGGAGTTGTTCAAAAGCCACCTTAGCAGTCACATACTCAATTTAACAAGAAGGTTTTCATATACCATATTTCATCAATGCTAAATTTTTTTTTAAGATTTTATTTATTTATTTGACAGAAAGAGAGAGAGAGATCACAAGTAGGCAGAGAGAGAGGGGGAAGCAGGCTCCCCGCTGAGCAGAGAGCCCAATGTGGGGCTAGATCCCAGGATCCTGAGATCATGACCTGAGCCAGAGGCAGAGGTTTAGCCCACTGAGCCACCCAGGCACCCCATCAATGCTAAATTTTTTATAGGGATTATTTTATAATTATGGCATGTCAATTTGACAATTTTCTTTCTTAGTACAACATAAAATAATGGTGAATCTTATAAAACATGGAATCTTAGATTAAATAGAGTACAAAAATCAATAGCTCTTAACTACCATCTGATGAAGATAAATATACCATACTAAACTAGTATAGTTCTCTAATAATAAAACTTATTGTACTTTGTTCTTGTGTTAGTTGCTCTATCAGAAGCTTTACCCAAATCACCTTAGGACACAATCATCATTTCACTGTACAGACCTTAAGAAACACACCTTTAATCCTTAACTGAATTAGGAAACTTGCCCAAGGTCACATAGCCGGTAACGCTGGAGTCAGGAATCAGGAGGCAGACACTAGTCTGTGACTCCAAAGGCAAACAAGATGACCAAGACAGACTAGTATCGTAACAAAACTCAATCAACCCTATAAAAAGTTTCCCTGCCTTATTCTCACTGAGGTATTTTACAATTTTTACTCTCGAAGATATCCGACAAATATCAAGTTGACAACATTTTTTAACTCAGCGATATCCCCTCTCCTTCTGTAGTAAAGTAAACTTCTGATGATGTCTCTATTATACTTACAAAATGGAAAGCCTCCAAACACAAGGACCTTTCCTGACTTATCCAATCACTACTCAGTCCCTGGCACCTGAAACACTGTGAGGCACCAAGTAAGTGGTCAAAAATATTTCCTGAGAAAAATTAGTATTTCCTTGCCCCCTTTGCTATCCTGTACCTTCAGATTTTTCTGAAACTTTGCAAAATGCTAATAAAATTAGGACCATTTCCAATTCACAAATATTTCTGCATTGAAAATGAGGAATTGGGCGCCTGGGTGGCTCAGTGGGTTGAGCCTCTGCCTTCAGCTCGGGTCGTGATCTCAGGGTCCTGGGATCGGGCCCGCATCAGGCTTTCCGCTTGGCGGGAGGCCTACTTCTCCCTCTCCCTCTCCCCGTGCTTGTGTTCCCTCTCTCCCTGTGTCTCTGTCTGGTAAATAAATAAAATCTTTAAAAAAAGAAAAGAAAATGAGGGAAAACACTCTAAGAAAGAAAGAATCTGGATTCAGTCTAATAGATATATTAGTAATGAAACCAAGACAACTTTCCCAAGACTGTCCTATGACCCACTGTTCCAACCTCATCAAATTCCATTCCTCACTGACACCCTCCCTATCCTATATCCACACTATACTAACCCAAAGCGGCTCACTTCTCCGCAGATGTGAATCAAGCCCTTTCTTGCATAGCTGCTCACTTCATGTGGGATGCCCTTCCCCACGTCCTCACCCAGTCCTTGTCATCCCTTCAGACTCAGTATCTTCCAAGAACTCCTCCTCTAACAGCCAGGCTAGCAAGTAACATTAGATTGAAATCATCTATTTCCAAATCTCTATTCCAACTGGACTGTAAGCGTCTCCAGGCCAAGTCGCAAGACACAAGTCATACACGTCAGGGGAAAAACAAGTTAACCCATGCCTCCCCTTCACCAACACCCCTCCAGCCCCCAACTGAAGATTTCCCCGATAACAAAGACAGATGAGAAGAGGATTAACAGGATGAAATGTGATACTACTATCACAATGCATAAAAACAAAGTGAGCAAAAAAGAGCCATTTTCTGCTTTGTAACACTTGCCTCCACAGTAAAGGACTCGAAGTGGGTAGTCTGCATCTAACTTGGTATTGCCCCTCGGGTCTCCTTTGCAATCATGCCCACCGGATTCAGAAATATCAGCAGCCATCTCCCAAACCTGTAAGCAAGGAAAATAACACATTTTCACTCTTTTGGACCAAGATCCCAAACAGGCAGTGTTCAAATGTAGCCTCACCCCCTCGCACTAGCAATACCTCACCCCTAAATCTGTTTCAATTCTGTTCTTAAGTGAAGGATACAAGCTGCATTAAGATTCATAAAATACAAGCAATTCTGGGCACACCACTACCAGCTCCACAGGTCTACAGGGAAGCAAGTGACAGCAGCAAAAAGACCGTGAAGAATTGGGGTGGGAGTGCGGGGGGGTGGGGAGGGCACTAGTGGAAAGAGGAAGCAACGGGATAATAGGATGGGGAGGATGATCCGTAGTGACGGGACAAAAGGTCTGGGGGTGATCTGGGAGGGATACAAACTGCAGCAAAAAAAGGCCACAAAGCAGCTGGAGGAAAATAGGCTTGAAAAGCCTACGAAGAAGGGGTGGGTGACAAGAGGGGCCCTGGGTACAGGGTGTGGGGGCAGCTCAACGCCAAGGGAGGGACACAGGAATCAGGGAAGGGGATGGGAGTGGGAGGGGGCGGGGAGACCAGAATCTGAAGAGAGAAAATGGGAGCAGAAGAATCAGCAAAGGGCAGAATGTAAGAGCACTGGGGCGACAAGGGCGGCCAGGACTTGGGGGAAGATCTGAGGCAAAGGGGCAATCCCGGGGAAACCAGAGGGGCCCATGTGGGCGGGGGTGTGGAGACGCCCGGCCCGGCCCCCTTCCGCCGGGCAGCACCTCGGCTTCCCCCACGCTCTCTACGAGCTTCTCGGAAGAGGGAAAGGCACAAGGGGTCTTTACCCGGGCGGTCGCACAACCCCCGCCGCCTCCGCTCCCGCCACTACCGCCAGCTGAAGCGACACATGCAACTCCTCTTCCCCGGCCAGGGCCGCCTGAAAGCCCGTCTGCCAGCCGCGGTCCCGCGAGACAATAAGCCTTTATCGCGAGATTCAGGCCGCCGCTGGGCGGCTGTCGCGAGAAGCCTGGAGGCGGAGGCGGAGGGGATTTGAGGAGCATGCGCGTCTCGTTCGAGGGCGGGGCCAAGCCTCCGAACGGCTGACAGCCAGTAGGCGGTGCTCGTTAACCGCGGGAGAGAATCGGCGGTCGGCGTGCGGCGTGTGGAAGCGGGCGCGGATGCAGTGGGGACGTGCGCCGTAGTCATCAGTGACTCCCTATTAATGAGCTGGGGAATGTTGCCCCGCGTCTGGGGTGCATCCTGGAGTCCTGACTAACCTCCAGCCTGTTGGATAAGTCACTCCTCCGCGGGGAGATGGCAGCTGGAAAAGGCGTTTGGTTTCAACACCTCTCCCTGCACTGGCTGAATTATTCTGGAGAGGATCCTGTCAGCGTTCCTTAGATTGTTCTCATCGCCCATAATCTCACCACCCTAACAGCTGTTTTCATCGCCTTCCTCGTATTTACCTATCCTTACATGGGTTGCAAATTGGAATTAATCTCTCGGGTCTCCGGCTTTCAGCAGCCAGAAGCCGGGTAGACAGAACCACACGCGGCGGGGGGCGGGGGGGAGCGTCTCAGCTCTGCTTCCATCTGGTTGTTTTCCTTCGGGAAAAATCCCTTCCTCACCGTGCTCCGCCTGAGTCCCATTTGTGAGATGGGAACAACATGACAGTGCTTGCAGATCTCTGAGGGTTAGGAAAATGACGACCAAAACGTGCTTCGTAGCTGGTGGAGGTCGTTCTTTTGTATTTTGTTTTGTCCTCCACCTCTTTGCTTCCTTCCCTGCCAATTTCTTGTGCCGCCACCACCACCACCACCCTTAAATTTTCTGCTCAAGATTTACTTCGTGTGCACAAAGCCATCTGGCACAATCTTTTCCACCAGAGACTGTGGCCTCCACTCTGACATCTTTCTTAAAAGAGGAATCCCTCCTTTCCCCCATAGAAGAGTCAATTCTCTTTAGTGAAAGAAGATCTTATTCCCAAACGTGGTTGAGTCCAATAATAATAGCTTTCTGTTCCAATAATACCTTCCATTTGCTGCCACTATGTGCCGATAACCTGCTCATTTGGGAATATAGAGTCCAGGGGATTCACTCCACAAAATTATCTCGTGTTCCTATTATGCGCCAAGCACTGTGCTAGGCACTGGGGATACAGTGAACAAGAGACAAGTGTCTACCCTTGTTAAACATAACCATCTTAAAAGTGATAGCTGATTTGATCCTTACAATAACCCCCCCAGGTATTGTCTTCGATTTCCAGATGGTAAAATTGTAGCTCAAAGGTGGAATGAATTAAGTTGAAATGTGCTTAAAATCACACAGCTAGGGGTGCCTGGGTGGCTCAGTGGATTAAAGCCTCTGCCCTCAGCTCAGGTTGTGATTCCAGGGTCCTGGGATCTAGCGCCACATCAAGCTCTCTGCTCAGCAGGGAGCTTTCTTCCCTTCCTCTCTCTCTGCCTGCCTCTCTGCCTACTTGTGATCTCGGTCTATCAAATAAATAAATAAAATCTTTAAAAAAATCACACAGCTAATAGCATGTTTTATTGATCTTAAGATGCATATTTTCCCACATTTTAATATCTTATACCAAGACACATTGCAATGGATGAAGTTTTAGCATCGTGTCATAGTTTAACTGGCAGCTCTTTTCTTTCTTAGGGTTGTATAAAATAATGGCGTCCCATAATCAATGGCATCTTAGATGCGATGAGATGTGGCTAAGTGGCCAGTCCTGTGTAGTAGACTCAATGGCTTCAGTTCCCTTCTTCACCCTTTTCCTGTTCTGCTTTGTAAAGAAGGGGGTGCTGGACCCCCAGAGACTACATTCCCTGGCTTTCTTCTTCCTGAGTTTCCAGCAGGGTTCAGCCAACAGGAGGCAGCAATAGGAACAGTCACCTTCCCAGCCATCCCACCCCACCCCGGTGAACAGCATCCCTGACTTCACTGGTTAACCCATTGTATTGTTAGGGGATCCCTGACCCTGGGCACCTGTACCATAATTTCCCCCTGGATCTAATCTGTAGCCTGGCAGTGTGATTGTTGGCTTCTTGCTGCCACTAGTCTCTGAATTGCTTCAACCACCTCTGTTTACCTTTTCAACTCTTTTATATATATATATATATATATATATATTTTTTTTTTTTTTTTTTAAATTTGACAGAGAGATCACAAGTAGGCAGAGAGGCAGGCAGGGGGAGGGGGGGTGCAGGCCCCCCCACCGAGCAGAGAGCCCAGTGTGGGGCTCGATTCCGGGACCCCGGGATCACGACCTGAGCCAAAGGCAGAGGCTTAAACCCACTGAGCCATCCAGGTGCCCCATATCTTTTCAACTCTTTATTCCCCATGTAACTAATCCCCCAAATGAACCCCCACACACACTTAAATACTTAGATGGGGTTATTTTCTGGGCAGACTGTACCTGAACGCCACTGGCGTTCCAACCTAGACTTGAACTTCCTAGCATATACTACAGCCTGTCAGCTCTGAAGTTCTAAAGGCAGGAGCCACGTACTAAATAAACTTCCCAGAGGTTTCTTACCAGGAAGCCACAGACTCTTTGAGGAGCAGTGGAATTATGACAAAGAATATAGGAATCCATTTGTGCACCAACCATTGTCAGGAAATTGACTAAACATCTTTTAGGCTTAAATTTTACTTTTTTTGGACAGAAAGACAGCAAGAGCTGGAACATAAACAGGGGGATTGGGAGAGAGAGAAGCAGGCTTCCCACTGAGCAGGAAGCCTGATGTGGGCTTGATCCCAGGACCCTGAGATCATGACCTGAGCTGAAGGCAGAGGCTTAACGACTGAGCCTCCCAGATGCCCCAAATATTACTGTTTTCTACCGTAAATCACGCTTTCGTTCCTGTGAAAGTTCAAAGATTGAATCTAATTGGCCTGCCTCCAGCTGCATCTGGTCCTAAATCCATCCCCATAACTGAACAAACCCAGAGTCAAGTGTCCATCTTTGGAGCTGGCTTTAGAGGGTGGAGACAGTTACAGCCCAAAGGAAATACGAGGTTCTCTGAACAGGAGGGGAATGATGTCAAAGTATCAAAACAACAGACGTCTACTGAATTCATCTTCATACTCACATGTTCTAAAAATTATGAAATAATCTCGTGCACTTACATCAAGTGGATATATAGGTGAGGCAGACTTCCTTACTAACCGAATTCTGCTTTGCTTGAGCAAGCCGTGTGTCCAGCTAGACGCTTGATTTCCCAGCCTCCCTTGCAACGAAGGTGACTATGTGACACAGCCCTGGTGCATGAGATATAGGTAGACGGTGAGGGGGGGGGCATCCCTTCTGTTGGGAAACATTGTGTCAGCTTTCTAAATGGACAAATATATGGTGTCCTAGCCCTCTTTGGTGTCATCTCCATCTTTCACTATCTTTGAGCTATTTTATAATTTTGTAAATTGTGGAAAACTGAGAAATGCAATTGGCTCTTGTCCAGAGAAATGCAAATGAATTCTGTCTGGTAGAGCTGCATTGATCATTTCTCTGTTGACTAGTTTTCCATCCCTCTGTAAATTCACTGTAGCATTCCCAATTGCCTGTGCGTGTGTATATGATTGCCTATGTGTGAATGTTTTTGAGAATTCTCCTTTGAATTGGTTCCAACATCTTACTGATTTCCTTATTAATTAATAAGTGAAATAAAATATTTGACACTTGTTTATTTTATGAGATAAGAGTCATGCTTTTATTCTTTTAGAAATTCATCATTTGATACTTCTCCAATAAAAAGACAAGGCTTCATGTTAAAAAAAAACCAAAAAAAACCTTGACCTTTCTTCTTTCTGACTGGAACCTGAACATAAACCGTCTTCAACCGTGAGGGTCTAGCCAGACCATGAGGGTACTTATGCCAAGGATTTGGGATTGGAAATGTATAAAAAAGCCTGTGTTCCTGATAGCATTATTGAGTTACCATGTTTGTTCTTGACTGCCTCCCTTCCAAGGTTTTCTATTGTGAAAATTCCCTGCTCTTCCCCAGCCCCCATCAGTTTAAACCAGTGCAGTGGGCTTTTCTATTATACTGCAGAATGCATTCCTAAATTATCCTATCAAAGAGCCAGAGAAAGCAAGCAAGCAAGCAAGCTAGACATTTCCTTTGGTTTTTGTTTTTGTTTTTGTTTTTTTTGTTTTTTTTTAAAGATTTTATTTATTTATTTGTCAGAGAGAGGGAGGGAGAGAGAGCAAGCACAGGCAGATAGAATGGCAGGCAGAGGCAGAGGGAGAAGCAGGCTCCCTGATGAGCAAGGAGCCCGATGTGGGACTCGATCCCAGGACGCCGGGATCATGACCTGAGCCGAAGGCAGCTGCTTAACCAACTGAGCCACCCAGGCGTCCCTTGTTTTTGTTTTTAATAGGCTCCACATGGAGCCTAATGTGGGAGTTTGAACTCAAAACCCTGAGATCAAGACCTGAGCTGAGATCAAGAGTCAGACCCTTAGTCGACTAAACTACCCAGGCACCCCTAGATGTTTCCTTTAGCACAAAACGGAAACCTGTGGTCAAGCAAAACATGGCTGAAAAAAAAGGAACAAAGGTGAGCCCCCGCTAAAGGATGATGGGGAAATAACGTTGCAAGACCAGTCATTCAGATGAAGCATGGACGAAGGGGCATTCCGACCCTCGCTTTCTGAGAAGTCTTCTAGCAAAGAGAATGAAAGAGTTTGCCCTGGGCTTCTTGGATTAGGAGCTACTTCTTACCACAGGTGACACCTTGTCATAAGATCATCTATTTTTTCAGGAAGTCATGGGTTTTATTATTCCACTGTAGGGGCTAGACTGGCCCTTAGCCAGACATTTTCTACGACCTGGTTCCTTCTGGGCATTTTCAAGATGGTCACTTGGGGTGGACTGGATATTTGTTGATTGCCTTTCTAGCATCCACTCTCTGTAACAGGCCCATTTTAGTTTGAAAGGGTTTTCTCT